TTAGATTATGGTGAATACCATTTGGTTATAGTCGGAGCAGGTACAGCTGGGTGTATTCTAGCGACCAGACTATCCGAAATTGCGAAAATTAGTATTCTGTTACTAGAGGCTGGAGGCGAAGAAAATGACTTCAATCAAATCCTTGCGATGTGGCCGTACTACCTATTTAGCGACTTTAATTGGGGTTATTTCAGTACGCCGCAAAAACGCTCCTGCTTAGGTAACCTGCTCAGTATTAACTGACCTTTTCTAACCTTGATTTCCGGGAATGAACAACTCACAGTGCGCTATTTGTAGAGGGAAGCTAATAAGGGGTGGAAGCTCAATCAATGGCGCGATGTACGTCAGAGGAAACTGCAAGGACTACGACAACTGGGCTGCACTAGGAAATCGTGGATGGTCCTGCAAGGATGTCCTTCCCTATTTTAAAAAATCCGAGAACTCGCAAGTCGATGGTGATGAAGGCTATCACGGAATAGGCGGTTTATGGAATATTGAATATTCGCTACCTGAGTCTCCATTATGGCACACCTTCATCAATGGAAGTTTAGAAACGAACCTACCTTTCATAGACTATAACGGTAGAAGCCAGATTGGTGTAAGTAAATTACAGTCTAACATTAAAAGAGGAAGAAGACAAAGTTTTGGGACGGCATTTCTGAACAATGCCCGAAAACGCAGTAACCTCAAAGTCGTGACCAAAGCGCTGGTGACAAAAATCACCATAGACCGACAATCTAAACGAGCAACAGGAGTAGAATTTGTAACTGGAAATAAAAAAATTCGAGTCCGAGCTAGAAAAGAAGTGATCGTTTCGGCAGGTGCCATCAACACACCACAACTACTAATGTTATCAGGAATTGGACCCAGAAACCATTTAAGAGACATGAAAATTCCCCTAGTTGCATATCTATCAGTGGGTAAAAATCTCATTGAACACCCACTGGTAAGTCTACAAGTTCGTTCGAACTATATCGCCCCTAATACCAGCATGGAGGAATCAGTTGAACAATACTTAAACGGTTTAGGTCCTTTAATAAAAGGAGCAAACATAGAGAGATTAAGTTTCTTCCACACTAGAAATAATTCCAAGGAAGGGCCGGCCATACAACTCGTTATGGCAGCGCCTCCCGCCGTTGACTCTCCTTTGTTTCAAAGAACCCAAAATTTCAACAAGACGATTAGTCAAGCCTACGAGAAGCTCCTCCAACCAAAAACCGACATAGAATGGTATGTCATAATTCTATCGACTTTCCAAACATCGATTTAAACATGTTTGAGGAACAAAAAGACGTAGATATTTTGGGTGAAGGGATGCAGTACGCGTTTAGACTTTTCCAAACTGAAGCTTTCAAAAAAATCAAGGCTACGGTACTTAACGATCCGATATGTAGCAATTTTGAGAAAAATTCGAAAAAGTACTTGAAGTGCTTCATCCGGAATTTCGGAACTAGTGGTTATCATGGGGCATCTGGAAATACCAACGCACCCACTGCAATGGTGGCCGAAAAAGGCGCAGACATCATTAAATCGGAGTTATAATAACCACTGACTCTTTTATTGCAATGTACGAACTGTGTAATAAATATCTTTTAATTTTAATTTAATTTAATTTATTTACTTTACGGGATACCCCCTATATTACACATAAAGTATTTATCCAATGAGTGCTAAGAAATTATTACATTGAAATATAAATAATATAGATAAGAATTAATTAAAAAAAAATAAATAAATACATAAATAAAAGGAGATTATTAAAAAAAAAAAATTAAATAAAAATAAAAATACTAATATAATATTAAAACAGCTTAGAAGTCTTCAGTTGGCTTTTAAAACGATTTCTTGATGTCCCAAACAATTCCACTTCATCACTATATGTATTTGCCAATCTTGACAATCTAGCAATAGGAGAAAAAAAACCATAATTTGTTTTATGAAAATCCACCTTAAATACGGGATGGTTACGAGTAGATCTTGAAGGACAGCGTAACTTGAACTTTTCCAAAAGTGAGGAACAATCTATTTCACCTGAAATCAAATTATGTAAAAATAGTAGATCATTTTTCGTTCTTCTCAGTTCCAACGAATCCAACTTCAATACTTTCCTAAGTTCTTGATAATTATATTGATAACCCTGATGCCCAATCCCTAACTTAGATGAACAGATGCGCAAAAATTTATTTTGCACACCCTCCAACGTTTTAATATTTATTTGGTAAAAAGGAGACCAAACGGTACAGTTATATTCTAAAATGGAACGAACCAAAGATATATACGCCAATTTAAACGTACCAATTGGAAACTCTTTTAGATGTCTATTAATAAACCCAAGGATTTTGTAAGATTTGCATGAAACAAGTTGAACATGTTCAGTAAATGTTAGTTTTTGGTCCATCATCACACCAAGATCTTTTATCTTCGAAACTCGTGACACTTTGTGATGAAATAACGAATACTGATAATCAACTGCAGTTGTATTTCTGGAAAAAGATATAATGAAACACTTCTTTGTATTAACCTCCATCAAATTAGTCTCACACCATACACCAACCTTTTCAATATCCTCTTGGAGAAGTACACAGTCTTCGTAAGACCTTATGTCTTTATATATTTTGAGGTCGTCCGCAAATAAAAGTATATTAGAATTCCGTACTACTTGATTAATATCATTTATAAAAAGCAAAAATAACAAAGGACCACAATGTGACCCTTGTGGAACACCCGAAGGAACAAGGATCTGTTTAGATATAAAATTACCGAATTTAATATACTGAATGCGATCACTAACAAAACTACCGATCCAGCTAATCAACCTGCTATCCAAATTCATTTTCTCCAGTTTATATATCAAGATATTGTGATTGACTCTGTCAAATGCTTTGGACAGGTCAACATAAAAGGAGTCAACTTGAGAATCGTTTTCAAAAGAGTTTATTATAAAATCTTGATATTCTAATAAATTTGTTAAAGTCGAACGCCCTTCAATAAATCCATGTTGAAATGATGATAACGATTGTTTAGCTATATATCTAAGCTGCTGAGTAATTAAGAAATCTAATAATTTAGGTAAAGCTGACTGAATGCACACCCCCCGATAATTAGTAACCTCAGAACGATCCCCTGATTTGTATATGGGTGTAACATAACTATTCTTCCAATAAGAAGGGAAAACCCCTGAAGATAGAGATAAATTGAAGATGTATTGAATGGGTTTACTTAATGAGTACACACATTGTTTTATGAAATAAGCTGGTATGCCATCAGGTCCACAATTAAAGGAACTTTTAAGATCCACAATAGCACTAAATACTTCACCTAATGAAAAAAGATGACTATTAAATTCTGAATTGGAGTTTATTGAATACGACATGTCAAAATTTGGATTATGATTCTGGCTGTATACAGATGAAAAAAAATCAGCGAACAAGTTAACCGTAGTAGCTGCACTATTACTTGTTACATCATTGTATTTCATAGTAATTGGTAGATTAAAATTTTTTCTTTTTCCATTAATAAATTTCCAAAAAGCTGAAGAATTGCAATGCATTTCATTATTTATTTTGGTTATGTAGCTATTATAACACTGCTTAGTCAATATTTTGCACTGTGACCTTAAATTAGAAAATGTTATAATCTTCAAACTGACCATCCTGTTTGAATTTTTTATGAGCCTGCTTTTTTGCTATAATTATGTTTTTTAATTCAGGCGAAAACCATTTAGGAAAAGTAGAACTTCTATATCTTTTTACTGGTATGAATTCACTAATAATGGTATATAGATATTGGTAAAATAAATGTATGCAGTGGTCGACGTCTTTTTGATTAAATAACTCTTCCCAATTTATTTCAAGTAAAGAGATATTAATTGCGGAATAATTTGCTACACGAAAATCATAAAAGAATGAATCATCATTTAGATAATTGATATTATTAAAGATATTATTAAGATTAATTTGGTATCCATTATGATGAATTGAATTATTAAGAAGATTATCCACTGAGTAAGATACTGAAGTATTTACGATATTTGAAAAAACCAGATCTAGGAAAACGCCCATACTGTTCGAGAAGTTAAATATCCAAAAGTAAACGTCATTTTTCTCTTCTTCAAACAAATAATATATTTAATATTGCACTAGACGATTAAAGCGGAATTTTATAAACTTGTTGTTAACGTTGAAGTTACTGTTCCCGCTGGCGTTGCTTTTAGAGCTGAAAATTGACATGTGTAAACTCCGTTCTAAGTTGCCATTGATAGTAATTTTGGTGTTCAACTTTTGCCGTATTTAAAGGAGTAGTTTTAAGTTTCTTGTCGTCTACACATATTAATAAAAAAAGGCAAAATGTAACCCCGCCCACCCACCCTATCTCAATTGTGATGATTTTTTTTATTCGTCGTGAGTCAAAAGGGCGGAGCGTAACTGCAAAATCCATATTTCCTTACAAAAATTTACCATTTTAAACGTGTTTTACGTTTCTAAGAATAAAAAAAATTATCACAATTTAGAAGAGGTGGGTGGGCGGGGTTTATATTTTGCATTTTTTCTTAATATACACAGTATTCTTTCAACAAGACGATACTCAAAAACATGATTTTAATTTCTTATAAAGAAATAAGTACTTTGCAGTTAAACTACGCCCCCCTTGGTTCAAGGCGAATAAAAAAAATCATCACAATTGAGTCAGGGCGGGTGGGCGGGCTTATATAGTTTATAAGGTATTTATGCTTTATCTAAAAATATTTTTTAGGTAATAAATCGGATTTCCAATTCCAGGCATTTTTTGACTCTGAAGTTTTGCTAAATATTCCTGATGACGCTAACTACTGTCACACTTTTCCACAATCATTCTTTTTTACCCGCTGTAAACAATTCCAATTCTAATAAATCAGAGTAATTTAAAGACGACATAAACAACAATGTCGCAAAATACTGAATAAAATGCAACCCATAAATGCCAGCGAATTGATAAAAACAAGGTTTGCAGTATTCAAGAAAACCAGTTCAAAGCCAAATATAGACAATTAGGGTACGAAATAATTTCCTCAAAAAAATGGCACTGTTATTTGAGGCACTTTTCTGTTTAATTGTTGCTGCGGTAAGTGCCTCACTCACCTCCGACTACTACCAACAACTAATATCTCAAGAAACTGCAAAAGCACTCACGTACGAGCTGCCCAAAAAGAACGAGGAATTCAGAACAGGGTTCGAATCTGACGAAATAAACGGTAGAAAACGGAGTCAATTCGCAACGATTTCATTTTCTGGTTTTAGATTATGGTGAATACGACGTGGTTATAGTGGGAGCGGGTACAGCAGGATGTATTGTTGCAACGAGATTATCCGAAATTGCTAAAATTAGTATTCTCTTAATAGAGGCTGGAGGCGAAGAAAATGACTTCAATCAAATGCCTGGGTTGTGGGCGTACCACCAGTTTAGCGAACTTAACTGGGGTTATTACACCACACCACAAAAATACTCCTGCTTAGGTAAACTGTTAATATTAACTGACACTTTCTAATCCTGAATTCTAGGAATGAACAATTCACAGTGCAACATGGTTAGAGCGAAGGTAATAGGGGGTGGAAGCTCAATCAATGGCGTAATGTACGTCAGAGGGAACTACAAGGACTACGACAACTGGGCGGCACTAGGAAATCGTGGATGGTCCTACAAGGATGTCCTGCCGTTCTTTAAAAAATCCGAGAATTCGCAAGTCGATGGTGATAAAGGATATCACGGAATAGGCGGTTTCTGGAATATTGAATATTCGCTACCATTGTCTCCATTGTACGACAACTTCGTCAACGGTAGTCTAGAAACGAACCTAACATTCGTAGACTATAACGGTAGAAGCCAGATCGGTGTAACTAGACTACAGATTAACACTAAAAGAGGTCGAAGACAAAGCTTTGGGACGGCATTTCTGAACAACGCCCGAAAACGTAGTAACCTCAAAGTCGTGACCAAAGCCCTAGTGACAAAAATCACCATAGACCGACAATCTAAACGAGCAACAGGAGTAGAATTCGTGACCAACAATAAAAAATTCCGAGTACGAGCTAGAAAACAAGTGATCGTTTCGGCAGGTACCGTCAACACTCCCCAGCTACTACTTTTATCGGGAATTGGACCCAGAAACCATTTACGAGACCTCAAAATCCCCCTAGTTGCGGATCTACCAGTCGGTAAAAACCTCATAGACCACGTCATTCTTACTTTGATAGTTCGTTCAAACTACACCGCCCCTAATACTACCTTGCAGCAACAAGTTGAACAATTTTTGAACGGATTAGGTACTCTAACGACAAGCACAAACGTCCACGGAATGAGTTTCTTCAACACCAGAAATAACTCCGCAGAAGGACCTGCAATCCAATTCGTCATAGCAAGCCCCGTTTCCGCTGACGCCTCTTTGTTTCAAAGAACCCAAAACTACAACAACACAATTGCCGAAATGTATTCCAAGCTAATCCAACCACAAAACGACATGGTATGGTACGTGGTACTGCTCCACGAAAAATCCAGAGGTCGGATCTGGTTGCAATCAGAGAGCCCCATAGATTTTCCCAACATCGATTTAAACCTGCTCGAGAAACAAGAAGATGTGGACGTTTTGAGTGAAGGGATGGAATATGTGTACAGACTTTTGAAAACTGAGGCTTTCAAAAAAGTAAATGCTGAGTTACTTGATGTTCCGCTGTGTGACAAAAATTCGAAACAGTTTTTGGAATGTTTCATCCGGAATCTGGGTGGTCCTGGTTATCATCCTTGCGGAACTGCAGCGATGGGTCCAGATCCCAGGAAGTTTGTTGTTGATGATAAGTTGCGAGTGCATGGAGTTGGAAACTTGAGGGTTGTTGATGCGTCGATTTTTCCGCTGGGGATATCTGGGAATACTAACGCGGCTACGGCGATGGTGGCCGAAAAAGGCGCAGATATTATCAAATCGGAGTTAAAATGAATAGTGTTTTTTCACGTTGTTGCAATTTGTTCCAATAAATTTTTGATGTTGTCTGGATTAACTAACAGGTGTACTGTACAATAAAGAATATATTTAGAGCAAGCTTTGGAATTATTTTCGTAGACTAAGTAGCCAACTGAATATACCTTATACTATTTTAAACGCAGTCGGGTTGACAGATAATTGACATTTTAATCCCGAAAATATTCCTGGTGACCGCCTTCGTTGTCAATCTCTTCCCCAATAATTCTTTGGTAGCCACCGTCAACTACGCAAATTTTAATTAATGACTGTGATTTAAGAACGTCATAAATAATAATGTCATAAAATACTGAAAAAAATGGAAGCCATAAATGTCCACAAATTGATAAAAACCAGGTTGACTCTATTCAAGAAAACCAGTTCAAAGTTAAACACGGCCTAGAAAGCGATTAGGGTACTAAATAATCGAGTTTTCAAAAAACAATAATGCCACTTTTATTTGAAGTATTTTTCTTTTTTATTGTTGGTGCTGTAAGTGCCTCACTTACCAGCGACTACTACCAACAACTAATCGCTCAAGAAACTGCAAAGTCACTCACGTACGAGCTACCCAAAAAGAATGAGGAATTCAAGACCGGATACGAATCTAATGCTATAAACGGTAAAGAAACAAGTAATTTGGCAACTATTTTATTCCGGTTTTTAGATTATGGTGAATATGATTTGGTTATAGTCGGAGCAGGTACAGCTGGGTGTATTCTAGCTACTAGACTATCCGAAATTGCGAAAATCAGTATTCTGTTATTAGAGGCAGGAGGCGAAGAAAATGACTTCAATCAAATCCTTGCGATGTGGCCGTACAACCTATTTAGCGACTTCAATTGGGGTTATTTCAGTACGCCACAAAAACGCTCCTGTTTAGGTAACCTGCTCAGTATTAACTCACCTTTTCTAACCTTGATTTCCAGGAATGAACAACTCACAGTGCGTTATTTATAGAGGGAAGGTAATAGGGGGTGGAAGCTCAATCAATGGCGCGATGTACGTCAGAGGCAACTGCAAGGACTACGACAACTGGGCAGCACTAGGAAATCGTGGATGGTCCTGCAAGGATGTCCTTCCCTATTTTAAAAAATCCGAGAACTCGCAAGTCGATGGTGATGAAGGCTATCACGGAATAGGCGGTTTTTGGAATATTGAATATTCGCTACCTGAGTCTCCATTATTGCACACCTTCATCAATGGTAGTTTAGAAACGAACCTACCATTTATAGACTATAACGGTAGAAGCCAAATTGGTGTAAGTAAATTACAGTCTAATATTAAAAGAGGAAGAAGACAAAGTTTTGGGACGGCATTTCTGAACAATGCCCGAAAACGTAGTAACCTCAAAGTCGTGACCAAAGCGTTGGTGACAAAAATCACCATAGATCGACGATCTAAACAAGCAACGGGGATAGAATTCGTAACAAACAATAAAAAATTTCGAGTACGAGCCAAAAAAGAAGTGATTGTTTCAGCAGGTGCCATCAACACACCACAACTACTAATGTTGTCAGGAATAGGACCCAGAAACCATCTAAAAGACATGAAAATTCCCCTAGTTGTAGATCTCCCAGTTGGTAAAAACCTCATGGAACACCCAGTTATCAATTTGATAATTCATACCAACTACACCGCCCCTAATATCAGCACTGCAGAATCAGTAGAACAATTTTTGAACGGGTTAGGTCCTCTAACAAAAGGAGCAAACCTAGAGGGACTAAGTTTCTTCCACACAAGAAACAGTTCCACGGAAGGACCCCAAATACAACTCATCACGGCTTCCCCCTACGCCGTTGACGCCTCATTATTTCCAAAACTCATAAATTTCAACACCACAATCGGTCAAGCTTTTTCAAAACAACTCCAGCCACAGAACGACATGGTATGGTACGTGGTACTACTCCACGAAAAATCCAGAGGGCAAATTCTGTTACAATCAAACAACCCTATCGACTTTCCCAACATCGATTTGAACATGTTCGAGGAACAAGACGATGTTGATGTTTTCAGTGAAGGGCTGGAGTACGCATTTAGACTTTTGGAAACGGAAGCTTTCAAAAAAGTCAATGCTACGTTGCTCGATATTTCCTTATGTGGTGATTCTGGAACACGTTCAAAACAGTACATGGAATGTTTAATGCGGAACTTGGCAGGTACTGGTTATCATCCTATCGGAACGGCGGCGATGGGTCCAGATCCCAGGAAGTTTGTTGTTGATGATAAGTTGCGGGTGCATGGGGTTGGGAATATGAGGGTTATTGACGCGTCGATTTTTCCACTGGGGATATCTGGGAATACTAACGCACCTACGGCGATGGTGGCCGAAAAAGGCGCAGATATTATCAAAGCGGAACTAAAATGAATGGTTTAATTTTAATTGTAATTATTGTTTATTTTTTTTCTGGTGCACTGTGTAATGTGTTTATTAAATATCCGGAACTAGCTGGTGTTTTTTCTCCCTTAACTTCCCGACCGTAATAATCAAGTCCATCGGACGACTGGCTAATTTTATGTTTTCTCGACGTTTCATGACCCCTCGCATACGAAAACATAGGTCTCTCGTTCTCAAAGTTCTGTCGAAATAACCTTCGACCATTTTTTTTTAATTTTATAGAACAAAAAATAGCAACAATTTAACACTGTTTATTCTTTTTGGAATTGAAAAGCTTGTTATCGTAAAATATATTAAGTGTCGCCGGAGGTTATTAATGTCCTACGATTCGTGTTAGTAACGTTTATTTGACTTTTACACACGAGGAAAAATATAAGCTTTCACATTAATTTTATTTAAAAGTGGGTGTGAATCCCGCAGACCATGTAATAAATTTATTAATGCACAAAAAGTGCAGATAAGAAATTAATGTTTGACACACTTACAGGAACTGATAATTTTAAGGACAAAAATTACTCCTTGGTTCAAAATTACATAACATATTTAAAAAATAACAATTACACTATTCTTATCATTAAATATTCCTCGTGCAGCTGTCAATCTTTTCCACAGTAATTTTTTGTTAGTCACTGGAAACTACGCAAATTCTAATAAGTAGGTGTATTCAGGGGCATCATAAATAATTCTATAAAAAAAGTAAAGTCCGTAAATGTCACAATGTTGATAAAAACGACGTTTGCTATATCAGGAAAACCAGTTGAAAGTCAAGACACAGCCAAGAAAGCAATTCCAATTCCGCTAATCGAACCTCGAAACCGTTAAAATTATGACTGGTTCCTTTCAGAAATATTTTTGTTTCTTTCTAGGCGTTGCAAGTGCCTCACTTACCACCGACTACTACGAACAACTAATATCTCAAGAAAGTGCAAAAGCGCTTACTTACAAGTTGCCCAAAACCAACGAGGAATTCAGAACGGGCTTCGAATCTAACGAAACAAACGGTAGAAAACAATGTAAATTCGCAACGATTTTAATTTCTGTTTTTAGATTATGGTGAATACGACGTGGTTATAGTGGGAGCAGGCACAGCAGGGTGTATTCTAGCCACTAGACTATCCGAACTTGACAAAATTAGTATTCTTTTGATAGAAGCTGGGGGCGAAGAAACCGACTTCACTCAAATTCCTGCGATGTGGCCTTACCACCAGTTTAGCGATTTTAACTGGGGTTATTACAGTACGCCACAAAAACAATGCTGTTTAGGAATGAACAACTCACAGTGTATGGTTGCAAGAGGGAAGGTAATAGGGGGTGGAAGTGCGATCAATGGCGCGCTATATGTTAGAGGGAACTGTAAGGACTACGACAATTGGGCGGCACTAGGAAATCGTGGATGGTCCTGCAAGGATGTCCTTCCATACTTCAAAAAATCCGAAAACTCGCAAATCAAGGGTGATAGAGGATATCACGGAATAGGCGGTTTCTGGAATATTGAATATTCGCTACCACCGTTTCCGTTGTTCGACAACTTCATCAACGGTAGTTTAGAAACCAATCTAACAATTGTAGACTACAACGGTAAAAGCCAGATTGGTGTAAGTCAAGTACAATTTGACATTAAACGAGGAAGAAAACAGAGTTCTGGGACCGCGTTTCTGAACAATGCCCGGAAACGTAGTAACCTCAAAGTTGTAACTAAAGCGCTAGTTACAAGAATCACCATAGATCGACGATCGAAACGAGCAACTGGAGTAGAATTCGTAACTAGAAATAAAAAGTTTCGAGTACGAGCCACAAAAGAAGTTATAGTTTCAGCAGGTGCCATCAACACTCCTCAGATACTAATGTTATCAGGGATTGGACCGAGAAAGCATCTAAGAGACATGAAAATTCCCCTAGTCACAGATCTACCAGTCGGTGAAAATCTTATCGAACACCCAGTAGTTAATTTGATGGTGCGTACCAACTACACCCCTCCTAATATCAGCACGGAAGACTCAGTTCGACAATATTTAAACGGCTTTGGTCCTTTAACCAAAGGATCAAACGTCGATGGAGTCAGTTTCTTCCACACTGGGAACGATTCTACCGGACAACCTTCAATCCAACTCGACATGACAGGCGCCTTAGCCACTGACGCTACCATGTTTCAAAAAACCCAAAACTACAATACCACGATCGCTGAAAAGTATTCACAGGTAATCCAGCCACGAACTGATATGATATGGTACGCCACACTACTCCACGAAAAATCCAGAGGCCGAATTCAGTTACAATCAAATAGTCCCATTGACTTTCCAAGTATCGATTTAAACATGTTCGACGAACCAGAAGATGTAGATGTTTTGAGCGAAGGGGTGGAATATGTTGTTCGACTTTTGGAAACTGAAGCTTTCAGAAAAATCAATGCTACATTGCTTAGTGCGTCTTTATGTGGCAATTTTGAAAAAAATTCGAAACAGTACTTTGAATGTTTATTCCGTAATTTGGGGACAACTGGTTATCACCCTTGTGGAACGGCGGCAATGGGTCCAGATCGTAGGAAGTTTGTTGTTGATCATAAGTTGCGGGTGCATGGGGTTGGAAAGTTGAGGGTTGTTGACGCGTCTATTTTTCCACTGGGAATATCTGGGAATCTTAACGCACCCACGACAATGGTGGCCGAAAAGGCAGCTGATATTATCAAATCGGAGTTAAAATGAAAACTGTCTAATAAATATCTAGAACTAGTTGGTGTTTTTCTCTTCTTTACAAAATGTTCTACTCAGAAATTTACGCAATTCAATCGATAAACGCTAGCTAATTATTCAGTATGGCTGGAAACTAAAAGCAAAACTTCAAAACAAAGTAGTAAATTTTGTAATACATAAAAAGTGCAGATAAGGAATCAATCCTTAACATACTTGCTGGAACTGATAATGTCAAGGTCTAAAATTTCGCACTGGTTCGAAACTAAACAGCGTGTCTGAAAAAAAAATGTCACTTTTATATACCACAGAAATAAAATCTAACCCAAATATTTCTCCTCACTACAGTGGCTGCGAAGTTTTCCGGTAGCTACTATTGTGCCAATTCTAATTAACACACATGGTTCAGGAACGTCATAAATAATAATGTCACAATATCCTGGATAAAATGCAAGCCATAAATGCCAACAAATTGATAAAACGAGGTTTGCTCTATTCGGTAAAACAGTTCAGTCAAAACCTAGCCAAGAAAACAATCACGGTACAAATCTAACTAGGAAGTTTGTTGTTGATGATAAGTTGCGAGTGCATGGAGTTGGAAACTTGAGGGTTGTTGACGCTTCTATTTTTCCACTAGAGATATCTGGAAATATTAACGCACCTACTACAATGGTGGCTGAAAAAGGAACAGATATTTTTGTGTGTGAAACAAAGTTGGGACATCCTGTATGACAATTCGAAAATGATATATTAATGTATGACAATATTTTTGATCATATCAAACCATTTATTAAAGTTATGAATAGAATGATAAATAGCGCTATTAACACAAGGACAGGAAATCAGAATTCAGTTCATTCCAATTGCAGTTACCAAGGCAGGTTAAATGAAATGAAATGATTTTCTTACTTGCTACGTCGCTATATTTACTCACTGCAAACCCGATACATTGTTCTATTACTACTAATTATTATCAAAGTTTGATTAATCAACGAACAACAGAAGCCTTGGGGTATAAATTACCCACGAGTAACAACGAATTCAAACAGGGGGTCGAAACCGAAAACTTTGAAGGTAAACAAATCCAAGAAATGCAATTAATTCTGTTCGCTTTTTCAGAGTATGGCGAATTCGATTTCGTAATAGTCGGAGCAGGATCAGCAGGCAGCGTTCTAGCCACACGACTATCAGAAATTGACGATTTCAAAATCTTGTTGTTGGAAGCTGGAAATGAAGAAGATGATTTCAGCGAAATACCAGCAATGTGGTTGTACAATCAATTTAGTGAGAAAAACTGGGGTTACTACACCATCCCACAAAAACAGTCTTGCCTGGGTAAGTTTCTCGTTACTAACGCTACCAGCCTGACACACTATTACAGGGATGAATAACAAGCAATGTGTTGTTCCTCGAGGAAAACTATTAGGAGGTAGCAGCTCGATAAACGGCGTGATGTACTCTAGAGGCAACTGCAAGGACTACGATAAATGGTATCAAATCGGAAACCGAGGATGGTCCTGCAAAGACGTTCTACCCTACTTCAAAAAATCCGAAAACTCCCAAATACGTGGTGACAAAAACTACCACGGTAAAGGAGGTTTCTGGAATGTTGAGTACTCAGCACCCGATTCACCACTATTTCAAAATTTCATTAACGGTAGCATAGAACGCAACCAACCCATTGTAGACTACAACGGCAAAAACCAAATTGGAGCATCACACCTACAGTCTAATATCAAACATGGAAAGCGACAAAGTCTTGCAACCGCATTCCTAGATAACAGTCGGCAGCGCACTAACCTGAAGATTCTAACTAAGACACTAGTGACCAAAGTCGTCATTGATCCACAATCAAAACAAGCAAAAGGTGTAGAATTCGTCACAAGAAATAAAAAATTCCACGTACGAGCTACGAAAGAAGTTATTGTTTCTGCGGGTGCTATAAACACACCACAGCTGCTGATGTTATCAGGAGTTGGACCTAAAGATGAGTTAAGCAAACTGAAGATTCCTATAATCGCAGATCTACCAGTTGGGAAAAACCTTATAGAACATCCGCGACTTATGTTGATGGTTCGCTCAGACCACGCGGCATCAAAAATCGGCATTAACAAATTGATCCAACAGTATTTGAATGGTTTTGGTACGTTAACACAAGCGGGAAATGTGGAGGGCGTCGGTTACATACAAACAAAAAACGATTCCAACGAAGTACCTACAATAGAAATTTTGTTTACAGTGCCCCCTTACATCGACACTTCTATTTACCAGCGACAATTGAACTACAACAAAGACGTCACCAACTCCTTACTCGATAGGATCGACCCACAAAAAGACATATTTTTCTACATAGTACTGCTTCACGAGAAATCTAGAGGACGAGTTTCCTTAAATTCGAGCAGTCCGATTGATTTTCCAAACATCGATTTAAACATGTTCGCTGAACAGGAAGACGTAGAAACTTTGTTTGAAGGGGTGGAGTATGTCCAGAACCTCTTAAGTACCGAGGCTTTCAAGAAAATTAATGCAAGTTTATTGGAAGTTCCCATTTGCGCTAATTTTAAAATAGGTTCTAAGGAATACTTGGAATGTTTAATTCGCAACTTGGCGGGCACTCTTTACCACCCCTGTGGAACAGCAGCGATGGGACCCAACAATGGAAACTTTGTTGTTGGTGACACTTTGGAAGTCCATGGAGTTGGAAATTTGAGGGTAGTTGACGCGTCGATTTTCCCATCGTCTATTTCTGGGCACTTGAACGCACCCACTGTCATGGTAGCGGAGAAAGCTGCTGATCTTATTAAAAAGGAGCACAAATGTCTTTAAATAAATCTGTTGTTGCGTCGTTCCCACAAACACTAAAAATATGTTGGCTCAGCAGTTTTATTATCACTATATTATTGTTTATTTAATGTGCTGCCTTCACAATTATGTAATATTCATTAAAAATGCAAACATATATCGTCTTTTTGATAACAAATACGAATTTGTAACAATATATACGGTGTCCCGTTCCTAAAAAAACCGCAATTTTTCTATGCAAGTTTCAAACAAAATTATCCATAATTAGGTCTCTTGGAGTAATCAAATAGTTTTTTAATAACTCACGAAGAAATCGTAATCTTTCGCCCCTAGACCTTTGGCACATTATGGATTATCAAAAATTTACAATGGAACTGACATAATGCGATGTAAAAATATGCAGTACTTATTATTATTATGTACACACATTGACAAAAACCTGATAAAAAAAAATGATAATATCAGTGTCACATGGAAGGAAAAAGTAACAAACGTCAGTTCAGTCTGATTACACAAACCACACGTTTTTACGTTAAATCTAAAATCAAATGACTTTCTTACTTACTATATCACTGTATTTACTCACTGCGAACCTAATAATTTGTTCTATTACCACTCAATATTACCAAGATTTAATAACCCAACGAACAACTGATGCCTTGGAGTATAAATTACCCACGACTAACAACGAATTCAAACAGGGAATCGAATCTGAAAACACCGAAGGTAAACAAATCCAAGGAAAGCAATTAATTCTGTTCCCTTTTCCAGATTATGGTGAATTCGATTTCGTAATAGTCGGATCAGGATCAGCAGGCAGCGTTCTAGCCACACGACTATCAGAAATTGACGATTTCACCATCTTGCTGTTGGAAGCTGGAGGTGAAGAAGATGATTTCAATCAAATACCAGCACTGTGGTTGTACAATCAATTTAGTGAAAAAAACTGGGGTTACTACACCATCCCACAAAAACACTCTTGCCTGGGTAAGTTTCGCGTTACTAAAGCTACCACTCTGACACACCGTTACAGGGATGAAAAACAGGCAATGTATCGTTCCTCGAGGTAAACTACTGGGTGGTAGCAGCTCGATCAACGCTATGATGTACTGCAGAGGCAACTGCAAAGACTACGATAAATGGTATCAACTAGGAAACCGAGGATGGTCCTGCAAAGACGTTCTACCCTACTTCAAAAAATCCGAAAACTCACAAATCCATGGTGACAAAAACTACCACGGCAAAGGGGGTTTCTGGAACGTCGAGTACCCGCGACCAGACTCACCACTATACCAAAATTTCGTTAATGGCAGTGTAGAACTCAAACAACCGATTGTAGACTATAATGGCAAAAACGAACTTGGAGCATCACACCTACAGTCTAATATCAAACATGGAAAAAGACAAAGTCTTGCAACTGCGTTTCTCGATAACAGTCGACAGCGCAGAAACCTTAAGATTCTAACTAAGACACTAGTGACTAAAGTCGTCATTGATCCAAAATCAAAAAAAGCAACCGGTGTTGAATTCGTCACAAGCAACAAAAAATTCCACGTACGAACTACGAAAGAAGTTATTGTTTCTGCGGGTGCTATAAACACACCGCAGCTATTGATGTTGTCAGGGGTTGGACCAAAAGATGAGTTAAGCAAACTGAAGATTCCATTAATCGCAGATCTACCAGTTGGGAAAAATCTAATAGAACATCCACTTCTTGTCTTGATGGTTCGTTCAGACTACGCTGCACCCAAAGTCGGTATTAATAAATTGATCCAACAATATTTGAATGGTTTTGGTACGTTAACGAAAGGACCAAATGTGGAGGGCGTTGGTTACATACAAACCAAAAACGATTCCAGCGAAGTACCTACAATAGAAATTTTGTTTTCAGTGCCCCCTCACATCGACACTTCTATTTTCAAGCGAGAATTCAACCACAACGAAGACATCAACAACAAGTTAATCGATAAAATCGACCCACAAAAAGACATATTTTTCTACATAGTACTACTTCACGAGAAATCTAGAGGACGAATTTTCTTAAATTCAAGCAGTCCGATTGATTTTCCACACATAGATTTAAACATGTTGGAAGGACGGGAGGACGTGGAAACTTTGATTGCAGGGATGGAGTATATCCAGAAGCTGTTGAAAACCGAAGCTTTCAAAAAAATTAATGCAACTTTACTGGAAGTTCCTATCTGCACTAATTTCAAAATTAATTCTAAAGAGTACTCGGAATGTTTACTTCGTAACTTAGTCGCCACTATTTACCACCCCTGTGGAACAGCAGCGATGGGACCAAACAATGGACATTTTGTTGTTGGGGATACTTTGCAAGTGCATGGAACTGGAAATTTGAGGGTTGTCGACGCTTCGATTTTCCCATCGTCAATTTCTGGACACACAAGCGCACCCACAGTCATGGTAGCGGAAAAAGCTGCTGATCTTATTAAAAAAGAGCACAAACATCTTTAAATAAATCTGTTGTTGTGTTTTTCAAGAAAGTTACTAATAAAATGTAGAAACCAAAAATCTATTGTGTTGTTATCGGGAACAGAGAAAAATTAAACTGTTGCCGTAATTTAAATAATTCGTCGACAAAAAGTAGTCTTATTCCGGCGTCAAACTTTTCGAACATCCTCTATTACTCGATAGATTACAGTGGAAATTTAAAAATGCGACGCAAAAATATACAGTTTTTTCACTGTGTCCACTCATTTATAAAGAATTTACGAAAAAAACTACAAATACCATCGTTATATGGAAGGACAAATAACAGACACCAGTTTGTTCTGATTGCAGCGTTGACACACATTTATACGTTAAAACTAAAATCAAATGAATTTCTTACTTGCTACGTCGCTGTATTTACTAGCTGCCAATGTAATAAATTGTTCTATTACCACTCAATATTACCAACGTTTAATAAAGCAAGGAATAACTGAAGCCTTGAGGTATAAATTACCCACGAGTAACAACGAATTCAAACAGGGGGTCGAATCTAACAATATCGAAGGTAAGCAAATCCAAGGAATGCAATTAATTATGTTTGTTTTTTCAGAATATGGCGAATTTGATTTCGTAATAGTCGGAGCAGGATCAGCGGGAAGCGTTCTAGCCACACGACTATCAGAAATTGACGATTTCAGCATCTTGCTATTGGAAGCTGGAGGCGAAGAAGATGATTTCAGTCAAATACCTGCATTGTGGTCGTTCAATCAATTTAGCGAGAAAAATTGGGGTTACTACTCCACACCCCAAAAACAGTCTTGCTTGGGTGAGTTTTTCGTTGATAACGCTACCATTGTGACCAAATATTGCAGGGATGAATAATAGGCAATGTAGCGTTCCTCGAGGTAAGCTACTTGGTGGTACCAGCTCAATTAACACTCTGATGTACTCCAGAGGCAACTGCAGAGACTACGATAAATGGTCTCAACTAGGAAATTGTAGATGGTCCTGTAAAGATGTCTTACCGTATTTCAAAAAATCCGAAAACTGCCAAATACGTGGTGACGAAAACTATCACGGCAAAAGAGGCTTCTGGAACGTTGAGTACACGGGACCAGATTCACCATTGTTTCAAATTTTCCTTAACGGCAGTGTAGACTGAAACAACCGATTGTAGACTACAACGGCAAAAACCAAATGGGAGCATCACACCGACAGTCTAATATCAAACATGGAAAGCGACAAAGTCTTGCAACCGCGTTTCTAGATAACAGTCGGCAGCGCAGCAACCTTAAGGTTCTTACTAAGACACTAGTGACCAAAGTCGTCATTGATTCACAGTCAAAACAAGCAAAAGGTGTAGAATTCGTCACCAGAAATAAAAAATTCCACGTACGAGCTACGAAAGAAGTTATACTTTCTGCGGGTGCTGTAAACACTCCACAGCTGTTGATGTTGTCAGGAGTTGGACCAAAAGATCAGTTAAGCAAACTGGAGATTCCGTTAATCACAGATCTACCAGTTGGGAAAAACCTTATAGAACATCCAACTCTTATCCTGATGGTTCGTTCAGACTACAACGCACCCAAAGTCGGCCCTAATAAACTAATCCAACAATATTTGAACGGTTGTGGCACGTTAACGCAAGCGGGAAATATGGACGGCGTTGGTTACATCCGAACCAAAAACGATTCCAAAGAAGTACCCACAATAGAAATTTTGTTTTCAGTGCCCCCTCACATCGACGTATCTATTTTACAGCGAGAATTCAACTACAACAAAGACATCAACAACAACTTACTCAATAAAATCAATCCACAAACAGACATATTTTTCTACATAGTACTGCTTCACCCCAAATCTAGAGGACAAATTTTCTTAAAGTCAAGCTGTCCGATTGATTTTCCAAACATCGATTTAAACATGTTCGCTGAACAGGAAGACGTAGAAACTTTGATTGAAGGGGTCGAGTATGTTCAGAACCTCTTAAACACCGACGCTTTCAAGAAAATTAATGCGACTTTACTGGAAGTACCCATTTGCACTAATTTTAAAATGGGTTCTAAGGAATACTTGGAATGTTTAATTCGTAACTTGGCCGGCACTCTTTACCACCCATCTGGAACAGCCGCGATGGGACCAAACAATGGAAAGTTTGTTGTTAGTGACACTCTACAAGTGCATGGAATCCGAAATTTGAGGGTTATTGACACTTCGATTTTCCCATCGTCGATTTCTGGGCACTTGAACGCACCCACTGTCATGGTAGCGGAAAAGGCTGCTGACCTTATTAAACAAGAGCACAAACATCTTTAAATAAAACTGTTGCGTTTTCCCAGAAAGTTGCTAATAAATTTAAAAAACTAAAAATCTATTCTGTTGTTATACGGTTTATTGGAATACGTACTGCAGCGAGTTACATACAGTTTTTACAGTTTTATAGCAATGGAAAACTGTATACATAAGGTGTAACCAGTGTGGTGGAAAATTTCACAATTATCGAGAATAGAGTCATCTGGAAAATATGATACAAGAAACCTCGGTCTTTAAATATGGCTGAATGGAGAATTTTTAAATTTGTTGAACACTCTTTTATCTACCGTAGGTAGTTTTCAAATGAAACATCCTCTATGTTTAACAAAATTAAACTGTTGCAGAAAATTAGGTTCACTAGACTGTGTCAAGGAATGATTTCAATAATTCATGTCGAAATCGTAATCTTAACCGCCGCTAGACATTTGGAACATCCTGTATTAATCGATAGATTACAGTGGAAGTTCAGAAATGAGATGCAAAAATATGCAGTTTTTCTTGTTATATCTACTCATTTAGTTATAATGAATTTACGAATACAAGTATAAATATTCACCTTATTCGTTGCGATTGTATTGTTGAAGAACACGTTTTCGCGTTAAAACAAAAATCAAATGAATTTCCTGCTTACTACGTCATTGTATTTGTTCACTGTGAACCTAATAAGCTGTTCTATTACAACTCAATATTACCAACATTTAATAAATCAACGAACAAAAGAAGCATTGAGATATAAATTACCCACGAGTAACAACGAATTTAAACTGGGAGTCGAATCTGAAAACACCGAAGGTAAACAAGTCCAAGAAATGCGATTAGTTTTGTTTGCTTTTTCAGAATATGGCGAATTCGATTTCGTAATAGTCGGAGCAGGATCAGCAGGAAGTGTTCTAGCCACACGACTATCAGAAATTGATGATTTCACCATCTTACTATTGGAAGCTGGAGGTGAAGAAGATGACTTCAATCAAATACCTGCATTGTGGTTGTACAATCAATTTAGTGAGAAAAATTGGGGTTACTACTCCATACCACAAAAACACTCTTGCTTGGGTAGGTTTTTTGTTGATAACGCTACCACCCTGACACACTATTACAGGGATGAATAACAAGCAATGTGTTGTTCCTCGAGGAAAACTATTAGGTGGTAGCAGCTCGATCAACGGCGTGATGTACTCTAGAGGCAACTGCAAGGACTACGATAAATGGTATCAAATCGGAAACCGAGGATGGTCCTGCAAAGACGTTCTACCGTACTTCAAAAAATCCGAAAACTCCCAAATAAGTGGTGACGAAAACTACCGCGGCAAAGGGGGTTTCTGGAACATTGAGTACCCGCTGCCAGATTCACCACTGTATCAAAATTTCGTTAATGGCAGTTTAGAACTCAAACAACCCATTGTGGAGTACAACGGCAAAAATCAAATTGGAGCATCACACTTACAGTCCAATATCAAACATGGAAGGCGACAAAGTCTTGCAACCGCATTTCTAGACAATAGTCGGCATCGCAGTAACCTTAAGGTTCTAACTAAGACACTAGTGACTAAAGTCGTCATTGATCCACAATCAAAAAAAGCAACCGGTGTTGAATTTGTCACAAGAAACAAAAAATTCCACGTACGAGCTACGAAAGAAGTTATTGTTTCTGCGGGTGCTGTAAACACACCACAGCTGTTGATGCTGTCAGGAGTTGGACCCAAAGATGAGTTAAGCAAATTGGAGATTCCAGTAGTCGCAGATTTACCAGTTGGGAAAAACCTTATAGAGCATCCAATTCTTGGCTTGATGGTTCGTTCAGACTACACGCCACCCAAAATCGGTCTTAATGAATTGATACAACAATATTTGAATGGTTTTGGTGCGTTAACTAAAGGAGCAAATGTGGAGGGCGTTGGCTACATACAAACAAAAAACGATTCCAGCGAAGTACCAACAATAGAAATTTTGGTTTCAATACCCCCTCACATCGACAGTTCTATTTTCCAGCGACAATTCAACTACAACAAAAACATTATCGACGGCTTACTCGACACGATCGATCCACAAAGAGACATATTTTTCTACATAGTACTACTTCACCAGAAATCTAGGGGACGAATTTTCTTAAATTCAGGCAGTCCGATTGATTTTCCAAACATCGATTTTAACATGTTGTCTGAACAGGAGGACGTAGACACTTTGATTGAAGGTGTGAAGTACGTCCAGAAGCTCTTAAAAACCCACGCTTTCAGAAAAATTAATGCAACCTTACTGGAAGTTCCTATTTGCACTAATTTTAAAATCAGTTCTAAAGAATACATGGAATGTTTAATTCGTAACTTAGCCAATAGTGGCTCCCACCCCTGTGGAACAGCAGCGATGGGACCAAACAATGGAAACTTTGTTGTTGGTGACACTTTGGAAGTGCATGGAGTTGGGAATTTGAGGGTTGTTGACGCATCGATTTTCCCATCGTCGATTTCTGGGCACTTGAACGCACCCACTGTCATGGTAGCAGAGAAAGCTGCTGATCTTATTAAAAAGGAGCACAAATATCTTTAAATAAATCTGTTGTTGTGTTTTTCCAGAAATATGCTAATAAAATGTAGAAACCAAAAATCTATTGTGTTGTTATCGGGAACAGAGAAAAATAGAACACACTTATGATTTATAAGCAAGAATGTAATTTTATATGAAACATCCCATATGATTAAAAAAAATTAAACTGTTGCCGAAATTGAGATATCAAAGAATATTTTAAATAATTCATCGACAAAAAGTAGTCTTATGCCGACGTCAAATTTTTCGAACATCCTCTATTACCCTATAGATTACAACGGAAGTTTAAAAATGCGACGCAAAAATATTCAATTTTTTCACTGTATCCACTTATTTATAAAGAATTTGCGAAAAAAAACTACAAATACCGCCGTTATATGGAAGGACAAATAACAGACACCAATTTGTTCTGATTGAAACACACATTTGCATGTTAAAACTAAAATCAAATGAATTTCTTACTTGCTACGTCGCTATATTTACTCGCTGCCAATGTAATAAATTGTTCTATTACCACTCAATATTACCAGCGTTTACTAACGCAAGGAATAACAGAAGCCTTGAGGTATAAATTACCCAAGAGTAACAACGACTATCAGAGATCGATTTCTGGGCACTGTCATGGTAGCGGAAAAGGCTCCTGACCTTATTAAAAAAAAGCACAAACATCTTTAAATAAATCTGTTGTTGTGTTTTTGTAGAAAGTTGCTAATAAATCTTAAAAACTAAAAATCTATTCTCTTGTTATACAATTTATTGGAATGCGTACTGCAGCGAGTTACATAGTGTTTTTATAGTTTTGTCGCAATTAAAAATTGTATACATAGGGTTGTGATAACCCAAACTTCCCGCCTTTACATTGACCTTGAAAAAGTTTGAAAGGCCCGCGAAAAAAATTCAAAGATTCAAAATTTTGCCTTGGCTGTGATCGTCTAACAAAATGGGAACCTACGTTGTCTGTTCTTTTTTTTTTTTGAAAAGTGGCGGGATGACGTTCTTTCATACAAGTGATCATATACTGCGTGTGAGTCGAGAGCGCAAGAAATAATAGACAAAATTTGGGAGGGGCTAAAATTGCACCCTTCCTTAGGACGAAAAGAAGCGAAGAGCGAAAGTGACTCGGACGTGCCCTTCTGGCGGCCCAGCAGGGCCAAGTCGCCATCGTTCTTCATCTCCAAAAACCCCCTAGGGCTATATTCACAGACATATTACATTTCAAACACTTTAAAAATATGAAAGAAAAGACACTCGCGAATGGAATCAATGCAAATATTTGAATATCACAAATTTAATAAAACTAAGCAAAGTCTGAATTAAAGTAACTGGATGCAAATACACAAGTTATTACGGGCGTGTGCCCGCAGATTTTAAAGTTACCGCAGTTAACAGGAGCACAACAAAAGTGCCCCTGGGGCGTTCTAGCACAAGCGGAGTTTGGGGCTACCGGTCGGGGCTGTTCTCCCCGCACGACGATGATTCGCAAACCTACCCGTACAGCACATTACACATCTCTAGGAGGAGCATGCTGTGCGAAACTAGGCCGTTACGATCGCAGATCCGCAGTTAGATCTCGACTATTGCGCCAAATCGAGAGAACTACAACATCGCAACCGCCCCTGAATCTATCCAAACGCGATAAGATCTCGTCTGCTCGACTAGGAATCGCACTTCGCTTCTGCCACGTTTTCTGTGTTATTTAACCTCAATTCCATTTTAAATGTTCAATCTCTTATAACTCTGATATTAACAACAACTGAACAAGTGTTAAAGTTTTAAAAAAGCAATAAACAACATTTAAATTCGCCATACAATCTTGTGACATTTTAAACAACTAATAATTCTTATGTGAGATTAAAATTGGACACCAAATAATTTATACGATGGAAACATTCATCAATAAAATATTTACAAAACAAACTTAGCAAAGATTCATAAAAACAAAAGATCTGTTGTGAAACAAACTTGTGCAAATAAAATTATTATGTGAGGTTAAAACTGCAGAGCATGAAATTTACGTTCAATTAAAATTATACAACAAAGTAAAATTACTGAGCTTAAAATTGCGAGATTTAAGAAATATTGCATGAGGTGAAAAATCGCAAAGTTAACAAAATTTACATGAGATTAATATTTGCCACACTTTATCAACAATTCATGATCTAAGTTTTTGGTTACTTCCAAAAAAACAATTTACTTTGAGAGTTTAGAATACCGGGAACTGGTTACCCCAACAAAACACACTATAAACAGACACAAAAATATCCAGTCATCGCTGCGAAGAAAAAGCGTCTCGGTGATGTAGTTTTATCGTTGAGAGAGAACACCTCGATGATGTAGCGTTGTGAGGACAAGCCTCGATGATGTAATCAATCTTTAGCGTTGCGAGGACAAGCCTCGATGATGTAATCAATCTTTAACGTGGTATGGAGATGCCCCAGTGATGTGATCATGATAACGACGATAATAACGATGATCACCAGCTAAGGGAAGAAATTATTTTAACCCCCCTTCAGTTCGCAGTATAATGAATTTTGTTTAAATGCCGTAAATGAACTATTAGCAATCTTGTGTGAAGAATTAAGAAGTGTTATAATGTAACACTTACGTATATGCATCCAGAAACCTATTCATAATTAAACAACAAAGGTGTTTTCCTGACTAAATGAATTTCATGAAATCTTCTAGTAAGTGGTTTATTTAAATAATCCTAATTGTTAAATTGTGTTAGCACTAGCTGACGATTAAGAAAAACTAACTTGATTGGTAAATTTACAAACAATAAAACAAATTTACAGCACGTGTTTCGCGCTGAAAGATCGCATGTTTTTAGATTAAAAGCCGCAACTGTGGCGTCGTCGTCGTTACGATTGATTGTCGTTAAACAAAGGTTTCCTAATGACTCACGCTTTAGACATGCCGCCTTCTATCTACCAACCAACCAACCCTCTAACTAAAATCCCCCTAGCGCTACTTAGCGCTACTAACTGTCCAACTATCCTGCAAGCGTTACCGTGTATATTTGGTTGCCTCGGTTTAACGATTTTTTTGATTGAATTCTTTCTTTCAAATTCAAATTATTTCAATTCGGTCACCACAAGGTGTAACTAGTGTGGCGGAAAATTTCACAATTATGAGAATAGAGTCAAATACTTAGAGCCCACTTATGGTTTATATGTTTATAAGCACTAAAAAGTTATAGAATACGGGGTGTCGCATCTGGAAAATATGAAAGAAGAAACTCCATCTTTAAATATGGTTGAGTGAATAATTTTTAAATTGATTAAACACTCGTGATAAAATAATCTTCGTATCCCATATTTCTACCGTACGCAATTTTCAAATAAAACATCCTCTATGTTGAACAAAATTAAACTGTTGCCACAAATGAGGTTCACTAGACTGTGTTAAGGAATGACTTCAATAATTCATGTCGAAAAAGTAATCTTAAACGCCGCTAGACATTTGGAACATCCTGTATTAATCGATAAATTACAGTGGAAGTTCAGAAATGAGATGCAAAAATATGCAGTTTTTCTTGTTATGTCAACTCATTTAGTTCTGAGGAATTTACGAATACAAGTATAAATTCTTACCTTATATATGGAAGGACAAAACAGCAGCGGTCAGTTCGTTATAATTCTATTGTTGAAGAACACGTTTTCGCGTTAAAACAAAATCAAATGAATTTCCTACTTACTACGTCATGGTATTTGTTCACTGTGAACCTAATAAGCTGTTCTATTACCACTCAATATTACCAACGTTTAATAAATCAACGAACAAAAGAAGCGTTGGAGTATAAATTACCCAACAGTAACAACGAATTCAAACAGGGAGTCGAATGTGAAAACACCGAAGGTAAACAAATCCAAGAAATGCAATTAATTCTGTTTGCTTTTTCAGAATATGGTGAATTCGATTTCGTAATAGTCGGGGCAGGATCAGCAGGAAGCGTCCTAGCCACACGACTATCAGAAATTGGCAATTTCACCATCTTACTGTTGGAAGCTGGAGGTGAAGAAGATGACTTCAATCAAATACCTGCATTTTGGGCGTACAATCAATTTAGTGAGAAAAATTGGGGTTACTACTCCATTCCACAAAAACACTTTTGCTTGGGTAGGTTTTTTGTTGATAACGCTACCACCTTGACACACTATTACAGGGATGAATAACAGACAATGTGCTGTTCCTCGAGGAAAACTATTAGGTGGTACCAGCTCGATCAACGGTATGATGTACTCTAGAGGCAACTGCAAGGACTTCGATCAATGGTATCAAATAGGAAACCGAGGGTGGTCCTGCAAAGACGTTCTACCCTACTTCAAAAAATCCGAAAACACCCAGATACATGGTGACGAAAACTACCACGGCAAAGGGGGTTTCTGGAACGTTGAGTACCCGCTGCCAGATTCACCACTGTATCAAAATTTCGTTAATGGTAGTTTAGAACTCAAACAACCCATTGTGGAGTACAATGGCAAAAATCAAATTGGAACGTCACACATACAGTCCAATATCAAACATGGAAGGCGACAAAGTCTTGCAACCGCATTTCTAGACAATAGTCGGCATCGCAGAAACCTGAAGGTTCTAACTAAGGGGCCAATTCCAAGTTGGTGGCGCAAGTCACTGGTGCAGCGCAACTTTATAATGCTAATTTGGGTATCAAAGCCTGGTTGCTAGGGGTGACGGAATAAACAAACGCAATTTTTCGAGATAAATTGCGCCAACTTGCACTGCCTACTAGAGGTGCCGCAACTCCATGGTGCAAATTTCAATGGAAAACTCGACAAAACTGCGTTTGTTGATTCCGTCACCCCTAGCAACCAGCATTTGATACCCAAGTTAGCATTATAAAGTTGCGCTGCACCAGTGACTTGCGCCACCAACTTGGAATTGGCCCCTAAGACACTAGTGACCAAAGTCGTCATTGATCCACAATCAAAAAAAGCAAAAGGTGTTGAATTCGTCACAAGAAACAAAAAATTCCACGTACGAGCTACGAAAGAAGTTATTGTTTCTGCGGGTGCTATAAACACACCACAGTTGTTGATGTTGTCGGGAGTTGGACCGAAAGATGAGTTAAGCAAATTGAAGATTCCAGTAGTCGCAGATTTACCAGTTGGGAAAAACCTTATAGAGCATCTAATTCTTACCTTGATGGTTCGTTCAGACTACACGGCACCCAAAATCTGTATTAATGAATTGATCCAACAATATTTGAACGGTTTTGGTGCGTTAACTAAAGGAGCAAATATGGGGGGCGTTGGCTACATACAAACAAAAAACGATTCCAGCGAAGTACCTACAATAGAAATTTTGGTTTCAGCGCCCCCTCACATCGACAGTTCTATTTTCCAGCGAGAATTCAACTACAACAAAGACATTATCGACGGCTTACTCGGCACGATCGATCCACAAAGAGACATATTTTTCTACATAGTACTACTTCACGAGAAATCTAGGGGACGAATTTTCTTAAATTCAGGCAGTCCGATTGATTTTCCAAACATCGATTTTAACATGTTGTCTGAACAGGAGGACGTAGACACTATGATTGAAGGTGTGAAGTACGTCCAGAAGCTCATAAAAACCCATGCTTTCAGAAAAATTAATGCAACCTTACTGGAAGTTCCTGTTTGCACTAATTTTAAAATCAGTTCTAAAGAATACATGGAATGTTTAATTCGTAACTTAGCCATTAGTGGCTCCCACCCCTGTGGAACAGCAGCGATGGGACCAAACAATGGAAATTTTGTTGTTGGTGACACTTTGCAAGTACATGGAGTTGGAAATTTGAGGGTTGTTGACGCGTCGATTTTCCCATCGTCGATTTCTGGGCACTTGAACGCACCCACAGTCATGGTAGCGGAGAAAGCTGCTGATCTTATTAAAAAGGAGCACAAATATCTTTAAATAAATCTGTTATTGAAACTTTCCCACAAACTTATTAATAAAATTGAAAACCTAACAAACTGTTGTGCTAAGTACTTTTATTATCACTATATTATTGTTTTTTTAATGGAGTGCCCGCACAATTTTCTAATATTCATTAAAAATGCAAAGTTGTTGAAATAATATATACGGCGTCCTTTTCCAAAAAAAAAAAAATACGAAATTTTGGTAAGCGATTTTCAAACAAAACTCCCTGTAGTTTTTTAATAACTCACGGGGAAATTGTTATCTTTCGCCGGCAGATCTTTGGAACATTATGGATTATTCAAAAATTTACAGTGAAACTCCCATAACACGATGTAAAATTATGCAGTATTTTTATTATACGTACCCATTGACAAAAACATCATAAAAAAAAACTATAAAATCAGTGTCACATGAATGGACAAAATAACAGTCGTCAGTTCAGTCCGAATACATAAACCACGTTTTCACCTTAAACCTAAAATCAAATTAATTTTTTACTTATTACATCACTGTACTTACTAACTGTGAACCTAATAAGTTGTTCTATTACCACTCAGTATTACCAACGTTTAATAAATCAACAAACAACTGAGGCCTTGGGGTATAAATTACCCACGAATAACAACGAATTCAAACAGGGGATCGAATCTGAAAACATCCAAGGTAAACAAATTCAAGAAATGCAATTAATTCTGTTCGTTTTTCCAGAATATGGCGAATTCGATTTCGTAATAGTCGGAGCAGGATCAGCAGGAAGTGTTCTATCCACACGACTATCAGAAATTAATGATTTCACGATTTTGTTGTTGGAAGCTGGAGGTGAAGAAGATGATTTTAACAAAATACCAGAACTATTGTTGTACAATCATTTTAGCGAGAAAAACTGGGGTTACTACACCATACCACAAAAGCACTCTTGCTTGGGTAAGTTTCTCTTTACTAACGCTACCAATCTGACCCACTGTTCTAGGGATGAATAATAGGCAATGTAACGTTCCTCGAGGAAAACTACTAGGTGGTAGTAGCTCCATCAATGCTATGATGTACTCCAGAGGGAACTGCAAAGACTACGATAGATGGTCTCAACTAGGAATCCGAGGATGGTCCTGCAAAGACGTTCTACCCTACTTCATAAAATCCGAAAACTCCCAAATACACGGTGACGAAAACTACCACGGCAAAGGTGGTTTCTGGAATGTTGAGTACCCGGGACCAGATTCACCATTGTTTCGAGATTTCGTTAATGGCAATGTAGAACTCAAACAACCAATCGTAGACTACAATGGCAAAAACCAAATTGGAGCATCACATATGCAATCTAATATCAAACATGGGAAAAGACAAAGTCTTGCAACCTCATTTCTAGATAACAGTCGGCAGCGTAGTAACCTTAAAATTCTTACTAAGACACTAGTGACCAAAGTCGTTATTGATCCACAGTCAAAAAAAGCAAAAGGTGTAGAATTCGTTACAAGAAATAAAAAATTCCACGTAAGAGCTACGAAAGAAGTTATTGTTTCTGCGGGTGCTATAAACACACCACAGCTGTTGATGTTGTCAGGGGTTGGACCAAAAGATGACTTGCGCAAACTGGAGATTCCATTGATCGCAGATCTACCAGTTGGGAAAAACCTTATAGAACATCCACTTCTTCCCTTGACGGTTCGTTCAGACTACACCGCACCCAAAATCGGCACTAACAAATTGATCCAACAATATCTGAATGGTTTTGGTACGTTAACGAAAGGAGCAGATGTAGAAGGCGTTGTTTTCATACAAACCAAAAACGACTCCAACGAAGTACCTACAATAGAAATTTTGTTTGCAGCCCCCCCTCACATCGACACTTCTATGTACCAGCGAGAATTCAACTACAACAAAGACATCACCAGCAACTTACTCGATAAGATCGATCCACAAAAAGACATATTTTTCTACACGATATTGCTTCACGAGAAATCTAGAGGACGAGTTTTCTTAAATTCAAGCAGTCCGATTGATTTTCCAAACATCGATTTGAACATGTTCGCTGAACAGGAAGACGTGGAAACTTTGATTAAAGGGGTGGAATATGTCCAGAAGCTCTTAAAAACCGACGCTTTCAAGAAAATCAATGCGACCTTAGTGGAAGTTCCTATTTGCACTAACTTTAAAACAAATTCTAAGGAATACCTGCAATGTTTAATTCGTACCTTGACCAGCACTACTTTCCACCCCAGTGGAACAGCAGCGATGGGACCAAACAATGGAAACTTTGTTGTTGGTGACACGTTGCAAGTGCATGGAGTTGGAAATTTGAGGGTTGTTGACGCGTCGATTTTTCCATCGTCGATTTCTGGGCACTTGAACGCACCCACTGTCATGGTAGCGGAAAAGGCTGCTGATCTTATTAAAAAGGAACACAAACATCTTTAAATAAATCTGTTGTGGGTTGCCAGAAAGTTGCCAATAAATTTGAAAAACTAAAAATCTATTGTGTTGTTAAAAAATTAAAAGCTGCTACATACAGTTTTTACAGTTATTGAGTATAGAGTAAAATAGAGTCCACTTATGGATTATAAGCACTAAAATATCACAGAATACGCGGTATCCCATATGGAAAGTATGATACAAGAAACCTCCATCCTGAGATATGATTTTTTTTTTCTTTTAATAGAATGCCAAATGGTTAAGCACCCTTGATCAAATAACCTTCGTACCTAATATCATATTTCTGTTTTAGCCACGGTACGTAATTTTTAAACAAAACATCCTGTATATTTAATAAAATTAAACTGTTGCCACAAATGGAATTTACTAGACTGTGTCAAGGAATTATTTCAATAATTCAAGGCGAAAGCGTAATCTTAACCGTCGGCAGACCTTTGGAACGTCCTGTATTATTCGATACATCACAGTGGAAGTTCAGAAATGAAATGCAAAAATATGCAGAATTTTTTGCTATGCACTCATGTATTTATAACGAATTTACGAAAACATGTATAAATACTCACCTTATATATGGAAGGACAAAATAACAGCGGTCAGTTCGTTGTGATTGCATTGCTGAACAACACGTTTTCGCGTTAAAACAAAAATCAAATGAATTTCTTACTTGCTACGTCTTTGTATTTGCTCACTGTGAATTTAATAAGTTGTTCGATTACCACTCAATATTACCAACGTTTAATAAATCAAGGAACAAAAGAAGCTTTGGAGTATAAATTACCCACGAGTAACAACGAATTCAAACAGGGGGTCGAATCTGAAAACACCGAAGGTAAGCAAATTCAAGAAATGCAATTAATTCTGTTTGTTTTTCAGAATATGGCGAATTCGATTTCGTAATAGTCGGAGCAGGATCAGCAGGAAGCGTCCTAGCCACACGACTATCAGAAATTGACGATTTCACCATCTTACTATTGGAAGCTGGAGGTGAAGAAGATGATTTCAACCAAATACCTGCATTGTGGTTATACAATCAATTCAGCGAGAAAAATTGGGGTTACTACTCCATACCGCAAAAACACTCTTGCTTGGGTAGGTTTTTGGTTGATAACGCTATCAACTCTGACCAACTATTACAGGGATGAATAACAGGCAATGTATCGTTCCTCGTGGGAAGCTACTAGGTGGTAGCAGCTCGATTAATACTCTAATGTACTCCAGAGGCAACTGCAAAGACTACGATAATTGGGCTCAACTAGGAAATCACGGATGGTCCTGGAAACACGTTCTACCATATTTCAAAAAATCTGAAAACTCCCAAGTCCATGGCGACGAAAACTACCACGGAAAAGGTGGTCTCTGGAATGTTGAAAACCCGCAGCCAGATTCACCATTGTTTCAAACTTTTGTTAATGCCAGTTTAGAACTCAAACAACCCATTGTGGAGTACAACGGCAAAAACCAAATTGGAGCATCACACCTACAGTCTAATATCAAACATGGAAAGCGACAAAGTCTTGCAACCGCATTTCTGGATAACAGTCGGCAGCGCACTAACCTCAAGATTCTAACTAAGACACTAGTGACCAAAGTCGTCATTGATCCACAATCAAAACAAGCAAAAGGTGTAGAATTCGTCACAAGAAACAAAAAATTCCACGTACGAGCTACGAAAGAAGTTATTGTTTCTGCGGGTGCTATAAACACACCACAGTTGTTGATGTTGTCGGGAGTTGGACCAAAAAATGAGTTAAGCAAACTGAAGATTCCATTAGTCGCAGATCTACCAGTTGGGAAAAACCTAATAGAGCATCCAGTTCTTGTCTTGACGGTTCGCTCAACCTACACAGCACCCAAAATCGATATGAATAAATTGATCCAACAATATTTGAATGGTTTTGGTACATTAACCAAAGGGTCAAATGTGGAGGGCGTTGGTTACATACAAACAAAAAACGATTCCAACAAAGCACCTACAATAGAAATTTTGTTTTCAGTGCCCCCTCACGTCGACACGTCTATTTTCCAGCGAGAATTCAACCACAACAACAACATCAACACCAAGTTAATCGACACGACAGATCCACAAAGAGACATTTTTTTCTACATAGTACTGCTTCACGAGAAATCTAGAGGACGAATTTTCTTAAATTCAAACAGTCCGACTGATTTTCCAAACATCGATATTAACATGTTGGCTGAACGGGAGGACGTAGAAACTTTGATTGAAGGCGTGGAGTACGTCCAGAAGCTCTTAAAAACCGACGCTTTCAAGAAAATTAATGCGACCTTACTGGAAGTTCCTATTTGCACTAAATTTAAAACCGGTTCTAGAGAATACTTGGAATGTTTAATTCGTAACTTAGCCGGCCCTACTGACCACCCTTGTGGAACAGCAGCGATGGGACCAAACAATGGAAAGTATGTAGTTGGTGACACTTTACAAGTGCATGGAATTGGAAATTTGAGGGTTGTTGACGCCTCGATTTTCCCATCGTCGATTTCTGGACACTTGAATGCACCCACTGTCATGGTAGCGGAAAAGGCTGCTGACCTTATTAAAAAAAAGCATACACTTGTCAATAAACTTCTTGTTGTCAACCCTGGTTATCAAAGTTGAAAAAATAAAAATTTGTTTTTGTTTTAAACCCTTTATCTGTTTATCAGAACAATGCCATTACAATCACATGCATAATTGTGCTATTGCCGTCAGAATTTAAGTAGCTCCGATAAGCAACCTTCAAGGATAAGACAAACGCAAGTACCTTAAAATAGCGTAAACCAATATTTCACATTCAATCATAATTCGTTAGCTGTTGTTGCAGACAGCTCTAGGCTATAAACAACTATATCAAGCTGGATTACTGCAAACTCTATCTTACAACCTTACTCAGAAAACCGTTGAGTTTGAAAAAAGAAAAGAGGAATGAAAAGGAAGAAAAAATATACGAAAAGAAAAAACTGAAGTTGAAGCGGACAAAATAAAGAATTATTTTTAGAAAAAAAAAAGGAGAAAAAAAAGCTCGAAAAAGTCGTCTAGCAACCATTGAAATTTAATGTTAAAAAATATGTTGGCAACACCAACGGGTTTCTTGTTCGGTTTGACAGTAACGGTCAAGTAACTATCAAATAGCTGGAATACCAACATGATTATTTTAAAAACAAATTTCACAGCTTACTAAACAGTTTCTTTGGATCATAGGGTACATATCAAAAAAGGGAGTGAACGAGATAAAAGTAAATGCTGGACAAATCGTGAGGAATGAGAGGAAGATATAAGATGAAGAAAAATGTTCAAAAATCCAGATAATGTCAAGGTTGCCAGTGCGCTTTATGTATCAAGGTGTATATTTGGTTGTCTAAAATAATGCATTAATAGCCCTTTTTTAAGAAAAAATGATATTAATATAGATGTATCATACATCAAACTGCAGCTTTTTACATATTCTAGAGCGCAGAGACCAGTTGAATCAATTAAAAAAATATGGCTGAGAAATATCGTAAAAAAAGCACCATTGTATGTTTTCTTTTCAAGTTTTTTGAGTCATAATCATCATAGAATCGCTTGAAAATTTGCACATGGATAAAACATCACTTTTTACAGGGCGCAGAGTCATTAAATGTTTGTTAGTGGTACAATTTGTTTAAATAATAATGTGTTTATTAAAATCAAAATATACCACAAATTAATGCAAAATACGTCGAATAATTTTAACAGGAATATCAGAGGAAAATTAATGATCTATTGGTTAGCAGAGTTTTTAACAAAAACTAACAATTATTGAAAAAAATGGGTATCAATTCGACAGAATTTGAGCAGTTAGTTCAGTACTTTGCCGATAGGAGCGCCACTAAAATTTACGGAAGCGACTTTCCAGGTAAAACCCTTATCGCCTGCTCTACCATCAGCTGATTGTTAGCGTTGTCGGCTGATTTTTCTAATTTATGGCAAGGAACTCAGTTTTATAACAAGCCGCCAGGACCGGCCGTAGTAATCTATTGTTAAGGAAATTAACTTTTACGCAATGAGGTACTATCATAAAACCGAATTAAAACTGGGGAACTATAATATTTTTACTGCACTCAGGATTCTGGATTCAATACACATGATTACTAAAAATTCATTGTAATATCATTGTTAATATATATTTTCCTTTGTTAATTAATAAAACTAATAAACATATTTATAATAATAATAAAAAATATATAAAATACAGCTTTTGTTTAACAAGTATAAGTAGCTAAAAGTGTATCTACTACTTATCCCAGAAAGGAGGTGTTTTAAAAAACCCCAAGCCCAGTAACTTCTCCCTTCATTGTTTACTCGAAAAAAGTGCTCGTATATGTTTTCATTTGCCGAGAGATCATTTTCAAAATATATTTATAATAAAAATATGCAAGTCTTGGTGATGAAAAATGTACTCCTAATAAATTATTTAAGTACATAAAAAAATAGAAACAAATTTTATTTATTTTAAAAAAATCTCTCGCAAAGACAGGTTCCTCTTTCTTCTTAAATCAAATCGCAAATTTATTTTATTAATTTAATCAGGAGTTACAAAACCGAATGCTTTGAAATCTTGGAAATGTTTTAAATTTATCATAAGCATGGTAAATTTTTGATCAAAATATATTTGCTCATCCCTCCTAAAAAATGGATGACGCCACCCCAAAATTTTGCTGAATAAATCCTATCTAAAATGCATAAAATATGATGAGTCTCTTCTTGTGATTTATCATTCCATTCATGTTGGATGACCCCAAAAATTAATGAATGCGTAAATTTATTTTATTGATTTAATCAGGAACTACAGAACCCAATGCTTTGAAATCTTGCAAATGTTTTAAGGTTATAAAGAGCATAATAAATTTTTAGTCAAAATATATTTGCTTATCCCCTCCAAAAAATTAATGACGTCAGCTCAGAAGTTTGCCGAATAATCCTATTTAAAATGTACAAAATATGGTGAGTCTCTTCTTGTAATTTATCATTCCATTCATATTTTTTGGATTCGGATATACAGGGTGACTCAAAAAATTTAATGAATGCGCAAATTTATTTTATTGATTTAATCAGGAACTACAAAACCAAATGCTTTGAAATCTAATGTGAAAAAAAAACATAATAGGCATGCAGTCGTCACGTTTCCGATAGCGAGGGAAGTACTGTCTAAACTCTTTAGACCGATTTTTTTGATTTTCCCATTTCTCCATTTCTCAATTTTTCAACGTTTCAGTTTGAGATTTTTTCACTGTTTCGATTCTTTCATTTTCTTTCCATTTTTAGGTTTTGCAATATTTCAGCTTTGGAATTTTGCAATATTTCGTTTTTTCAATTTTTGATATTGTGTTTTCTCGGTTTTTAAATGTTTTTGGTTTTTAGATTTCTCACTATCTCGACTTTTCGATTTTTCAGTTCCATGATTTTTCAATTTTTCGAATTTTTAAATTGTAGATTTTTTGTTTTCTTTAATGTTTTGAGTTCTCGATCATTCGATTTTCTGAGTTTTCAGGCTTAGATTTTTTTTGTTGTTCAATTCTTGGATTTTTAAAATTTTCCTATTTATCAACTTACTGGGATTTCAATGTTTTGATTTTTTTGATTTTTCAATTTATCGATTCTTCGATTTCTCGAATTTCTTCATTTTTCGATTTCTCAATTTTCCGATGTTTCAGTTTTACGATTTTTAATTTTTTTTATTTTTCAGTTTTCAATTTTTGACGTTTCTAAATTTTTCGATTTCTTTCTTCTTTTTCAAGATTTCAGTTTTGAATTTTTTCACTTTTTCAATTTTTCAATTTTCCTTCCATCTTTCAGTTTTTCAGTATTTAAGTTCTGGGATTTTGCAATGTTTCGGTTACTCAATTTTTCCATTTTTTGATGTTTCGATTTCTCGGTTTTTCAATTTTTCGATAGATTTTCCGTTAATTTTTTTGTTTTCCTTGATGTTTTGATTTGTCGATTTTTCAAGTTCTCGGTTTAGATTTTTTGGTTTTCCAATTCTTCGATTTTTAAATTGTTTAATTTTTAGATTGCTCAATTTCTCGATTTTTAGATTTTTCAATTTGTCGGATTACCGATTTTTTTTCATTTAAAATGTTTCAATTTTTCAATTATTAACTTTTCGATTTTTCAATTTTGGTCTAATTTGATTTCTAAATTTTTTGATTTTTTTACTCCTCTACTGTTGATGTTTTGATTTCTCGATGTTTCAGTTTTGAACATTCCGATGTTTCGATTTTTCGACTTTTTGGCTTTTCGAGTGCTCAGTTTTTTGATTTTTGCATTTTAGATTTTTATTTTTTTATTGTTTTGGTGTTTCGATTTACCAATTCTTCAATTTTTCGATATTTTAATTTTTCAATTTTTCGAATTTTTAAATTTTTAATTTTTCTTTTCTTTTATTTCTCAATTTTTGGATTTTTTAAATTTTACATTTTTCGATTTTACTATTTTTTGATGCTTGGATTTTCCAATTTTTCAAGTTTTCAATACTCGTTTCTTCAGGATTTGAATACTGAGAACTTTTCAATTTCTGGATTTTCAATTTTCGGATATTTTAATATTCAGTTTTTTAATGTTTCGATTTTTGCGTGTTTTGATTTTTCGATTTTTAAAGTTTTTGATTTTTCGATTTTTCGATTAACTGATTTTTTGCTTTTCCCATTTCTCTATTTCTCGATTTTTCAATTCTTTCTTCAATTGTGATTTTTCAATTTTTCAAGATTTCAGTTTTGAATTTTTTCACTTTTTCGATTTTTCAATTTTCCTTCCATTTTTCAGTTTTTCAGTATTTAAGTTCTGGGATTTTGCAATGTTTCGGTTATTCAATTTTTCCATTTTTTGATGTTTCGATTTCTCGGTTTTTCAATTTTTCGATAGATTTTCCGTTAATTTTTTTGTTTTCCTTGATGTTTTGATTTGTCGATTTTTCAAGTTCTCGGTTTAGATTTTTTGGTTTTCCAATTCTTCGATTTTTAAATTGTTTAATTTTTAGATTGTTCAGTTTCTCGATTTTTAGATTTTTCAATTTTTCGGTTTACCGATTTTTTTTCATTTAAAATGTTTCAATTTTTCAATTATTAACTTTTCGATTTTTCAATTTTGGTCTAATTTGATTTCTAAATTTTTTGATTTTTTGACTCCTCTACTGTTGATGTTTTGATTTCTCGATGTTTCAGTTTTTGAACATTCCGATGTTTCGATTTTTGTTTTTTTGATTTTTTTGGTGTTTCGATTTCCCAATTCTTCAATTTTTCGATATTTTAATTTTTCAGTTTTTCTAATTTTTAAATTTTTAATTTTTCTTTTCTTTTATTTCTCAATTTTTGGATTTTTTAAATTTTACATTTTTCGATTTTACTATTTTTTGATGCTTGGATTTTCCAATTTTTCAAGTTTTCAATACTCGTTTTTTCAGGATTTGAATACTGAGAACTTTTCAATTTCTGGATTTTCAATTTTCGGATATTTTAATATTCAGTTTTTTAATGTTTCGATTTTTGCGTGTTTTGATTTTTCGATTTTTAAAGTTTTTGATTTTTCGATTTTTCAGATTCGTTGTCTATTTTAAGTATATTTCATTTTTCAATTTGCGCCTTCTGCGGGAGTATTATTTGTTGTGCTGCACTTGACGGGCGAGGGAAGTTCTGTCGAAATAACTTTCGACAAATTTTTATACTTAGCACGTAGGGTTCTTACTAAGCATTCCTTATTTAACCCAACAGTTATTAATTTAACTAAGCAGCTATTATTTTTACTGAGAATATATTTTTTAATTGAGCATTTATTATATAACTTAGCATTTATCATTTTTACCGAGCAAAAATACAGAGCGTTTAAAAATAGAACTGTGCATTTAATTTGTTCCTTTATCTAAATAACAAGAAAACGGTATTAATAATACATTTATTAGGCGAATAAAGTAATAGACGGGCTTGATAAGCCTTGTTTGCTCTACAGTGTCTAAATTGTGTTTGAATAATATAATAATTATCTCGAATATTAAAATTAATATGTCAAAAAAAATACCAGAAATGATTATTCTGTGCTGAAGGTAGTCGTCTATCCCAGCGCGTCAGGTACATTTAGAGAAGAATTGCTGGTTGCGTTTAAGGCAACAATTGGCGCCCAATTCAAACTTGTCTCTCGTCTAGCGTTCCCCTTAATAAACGATTTTTGTACGTAAGTCATGCATTAATCTCCTCATTAATAAACGATCAACGGAAAAAGTAGTAAATATGAGCTTCCAAAAATTTCTAAAACTTCGATATTTCAACGGTCGATTCTGGAAAAATGTTCGGAGTCATTAAAGAAACGACCTCGGAAGAAAACGTATTTCGTTAAGTTTCGAAAATGGTGAAAAATCTACATGTATAAAACTACTTGTATTTTTACAAGAAAATTTTGTCTGCCGTTTAATTGAGAAAGGAACAGAGAAAGAAATTGCGAATCGTCAGTCTTTGATGCACTGTATAGAGTTCATCATGGTTCGCCAGACGATATGTGTATGTGGTGCAACACGTAAACACGAGCCAATTCGTAATCTTATCTACTCGACGCAACGATTTGGTTCGTATTTAGCTTCGGTGTGTGTCGCTCAATACGAAATGGACACGTAGTACTTGCAACGAACAAAAGACAACATTCATACATTAAATAGAGACAATTACTGTCATTTCTAGCGCGCAGTCAAATTATTTTAGGTGAGTAAAACATCGTGTGTGATCGTGTTTTCATCGCCTGCCGCCGCGTAAAGTTGTGTAATTCCCGGCAATTCGGGGACTGCGTCCTTGACAGCAGTTGATATTTGCAAGCGAAGAGAGAGTGTATGAAAGTGCGGGCTACGTAGAAACAGACGGGGAGTGATTCATTTATACACTAATGAAGTAATGATAAATGTAAGTTCTTTTATTTGCTTCACTTTTATTCCTGGTCTGACTCCGTCGACACAAAATCTGACTTAGGTACCTGACAGACGCATTGTAATCAAATTTATCAAGTAGATATCTTATCTTAACGCCAATGCTTAAATATTTTATTCTCAGGTCATGTTATCTCGAACAAGCACATGTGTTTATCAACATTCAGAACGCAGAATTTACATTAGTCATCAGTAACTCTAGTTATGGCGTTTAATCGTATTGTTTTATAAAAATTCAAAAAATTGCAATTCAAAAGGAATGCTACCCCCGCACTTACTCTAGGGATCAGGAAAGGTCGAGAAAACGTAAAAGTAGAGACTTTAGTACTTACTTCGCTTACACTCGGGAAATTAAAATACAAGTATAGCACAGAATCAAAAATTTTTACATTGAAATAGGACACCTTCAATGTGTATTTTACTTTGTTGCTATTGCCAGTTTTCTAATTTTTCCAAAACACTATTTTTAGAATCTGAATGGCCACTAAAACACCAGTTTCGGCTCTTCAGGAGCTTATGGCAGCTAGAAAAGTACCCCTACCCGTATACATCGAAGAAGGTTTCGGCACTTCGTTCAAATGCACAGTTCACGCTGGAGGAATCACCGCCGTAGGTTTATCCTCCTCAAAAAAAAGTGCCAAACATGAGAGTGCCAAAAAGGCACTGGAAAAATTCGCGATGCAAACAAAAACTCCTCAGATTTTGATTTTACAAACTAGTACACCACCATCTCCTGTGGCGAGGTCATTCACGAACCATGTAGGAGAGTTAAACGAATTCGCGTCAAAGCGAGGTTTACAATACCCAAATTATGAATGTGTCACTGGAACTGCGACCGGTGAATTTTACGTTAAATGTTCGTTCTTGGAAAAAGACATTTTGGGAAAAGGTATGAACAAGAAAGATGCGAAACAGGATGCAGCTGGAAAAATGTTGGAACTGTAAGTAACCACGTACCTTAAAATTTAATTTTCTAATTTCTTCTATTGTTATTTAGAATAAACGTCACGGATCCTGTGATTCTGATTAATAATAGCTCCAGTGTGATTAATCAAACAGTGACAAAATTTGAGGTTACAGAACGAGAAAAAATAGTGGGTATGTATAAGGTTTTGTCACTGAACGATGACGGAGTGTACGTTGAGAAAACGAACACTATTAAAGCTATTCCTGAGATTATAATGGTAATATAATTGTATTATTGTGCGATAATTCTAATTCTGTCGCTTTCAGACTGACCATGATAGCGTGGATGTCCTGAAGGCGAAATTAATTCATCATGGGATAAATTACAGCATGAAAGAACTACAAAACAACCCTTGTATAATGTACGTCAGAATTAAAGGTACGGATCTGTACTTCGTCGCCTGTGGCGACAGTCGAGAAGAAGCAACTAGGCGAGTACTTCAAGATGTGTTTGAGGCTGTTCAAAGTGGCGTTTCTTTGAGTACAAACGATTTAATAAATTTCGATTAATTTTAAACATATTTTTTTATAAATAATATGACATGATTTTTTATAATGTATTGTTTAATTGTTATAGATGAAATACTCAAATATATGTTGGACGGGATTTCTTTTAAACCAAGAAAAACCAGTGTATACGTACATGTATTTGCATTAAGGTCGTTATTTTACAATAATGTTGATTATAATGTAGCTATTCATCCGTACCTTCTATCGATTCTACCCGAAACGAGTGAAAAAAATTGTCTCTTTCTTCTTTGTATCGCGTTTTTAGTAAATAATCGACGGCCAAATTGTTGGGTATAAAACTGTACTGAAGAGCGCCCAGTTGACACTGTTGCAGGAATTCAATGGCTTCAAGCAGACACTTTGTTCTGTTATCTTCATAACACCCCAGAGGACTATAATAATCGCATAAACTCTTCTTTTTGAAAGTGCCTTTGATTTTCTGAAAGTTGTTCCCAGTCGTCACTAATTTCATAGACGTCAGTAGTTTCATCAGCACGGTATCTTTAGGCGCTCCTCCTAGTTTTTTCGTGAAGAGTTCCTTTTTCTGTTTTCTTAAAATTACGTATTCCGGTATCTTGTCTAGAAGCTTCGCCATTATGTCACCTATGTAAGGTAAGTAGGGTGTGTTTTGGCACGATAAAAAGAATGTTTTCTGGTAAGAGAATAAACGTGGATCTCTGTAAAGGCGACAAAGAAACTCGAAAGTCCTGAAAATGGGGATTAACGTCATTTCGAAAGAAACTTTTGTAACAAGTACTGATATTTGCTTGCGTGTTTTTTGCGAACGTAGGCCCACGTCGTCCTCAACCTGTAAATTGCGGGGCTCTGTAGCCCAAAAAGTACCGTTCTACAAGAGTGAAAGTTGGAAATTCTGTGACATTTTTCTGCGACTGTGATGAACCTGGCAATTAAGCGTGCTCTCATCTGAAAATGGGAATCATATAACTACTTAGGTACGTTTTTACGAATTTGAAAAATACGGTACCCTATCACAGTTATTGTTCAAGATATCGCTAGCCACCAAGCAACTAATCCTGTGAGAAAAAGCCACCATTGCTGCTACGTTTGGAGCGTTCTTAGACGACTGCTGAGACACCAACACTGACAATTCAGTTGCTGAAATTTTAAGAAACAAATCTCGATCGGTCATAGTCAACTGTTGTGCCAAAGTGGTCGAATTGAAATCCCATGCCGATAAAAGAACGTCTGTTCTTAGTAGACGCTTCAAATACTGGAGAGACGTTTCCTTAGACGTTTTTTCTTGATCTGGGGACATCAAGCAGCACAAAGCTATTAGAAATTAATATTTGGTGTTGTTTTTTTGTCATACCAACATCGCAAACATCGTGAGATTTACCACCGAAAACGTTGAAACGCATCGTCGATCTCCTCTTCTTCGTTTTGCGATATTTGGCGCTTCGCGTCATGGAAGAATCAGAATCTGAATCGGTACTTTCCAATCTCGGGGGAGCAACGCGTCGAAATAACCTCCTTCGTTCTGATGAGAATTCAGTTAACTGTAACAAAAACTAACACTACCTACTTTTATTTTTTTGGTGATATTCTTGAATTCTGGCTAGATGACTCTGCAGTTCTTGATAAGCGTCTTTGGCTGTTCTTGGTCGATACCAGTAGTCGGGGGTCCAAAAAAATATAACTGGCCTACGAGGACCTCTGTAAATTCGATTATAATAATAATTTAAAAATGAACGACGGTTAATGTCGTACCCGCAGGCCACTTGGTTGTTTATTTTAGGACGGTCTGGATGCGATATTTCGCAAGAAATAGTCGCGACGAGTTGTCTCTTTGCTACCGGTAGCCTTAGTTCTGATTCAGCCGGTTGTCGTCTGATTGTTACCACAGAAACGGCCCGTTTGACTTGAATCGAGAATTTGGTGCCTGGATTTATATTCCACGGTCCCAAACCGTACAAAAATAGAGGCTGCGGTACAATTCCGAAACGTCTTCGGTGTCTCGTCTTGGTTTTTCTTAAATTTTCTCTATAAAGCTCCCAAAGTCGTACCGAATCTTCGGCCAGCGCCTCAAATCTGGTGGTTAAATTTGGCATTTGCAGTTCCTCGGATAGCCCTGAAGACTGTTTGGAATTAATTTAAAACGGACGTATTCAGAGACTGAGGACTTGTTTGATCTAGAGACCAGAGCGCAGTCAGGCCAATATCGACTTTAAGCGATAGGTGAACAAAGTTCTTGCACATTTTAACGATTTAATACATAATGTTCCCGAATGACAAAATTTATATTTCAAATTGTGTTATCAAATGTTAAAAAGTAGCATAGTCCTGAACTTGTTTTTTTTTCAACTGTAGATGTCTCCATTTTGCAATATTTCAATTTTGGGTCTTTTCAATTTTTCCGTTCTTCCAATTTTCGATTTCTCGATTTCTCAATTTTTCAGTCTTTTTATGATACGATTTCTTCATTTTTGTCCTCTTCAATTTCAGAAATATTTCAAATTTTGACATTTCTAAATTTTCAGCTTTCCGATTTCTGAACTAATTTTTTTTATTTTCCCCATTCTCGACTTCCCAAAGTTTCGATTTTTTAAGCTTACGATTTTTCAACTTTGCTTCTTTAGTTTCCCGATTTCTCATTTTTCCAATTTTTTAATTTCTCAATTCTTTGGATATTTCTTTCAGTTCTGGGATTTTTCAATATTTCGATTTTTGGACTCCTGAATTTTTAGATTCCTCGAGTTTTCAGTTCTTCTATATTTCAATTTTTTAATTGTCCGGATTTTTAAATTTTCGATTTTTCCAATTTTTCTTTTTTTAAAATTTTTCGATTTTTCGATTGTTTGCGATATTTTAATTATTCAATGCTTTAAATTTTTTAATTTTCGATTTATCGATTTTTTGGTTTTTCAGTTCTTCAGTATTTCTGTTTTTCAATTTTCCAAATTTTGACCTTGCTAAATATTCAGTTTTCCGATTTCTCAGTTAATCTATTTTTGATTTTCCCATTTCTCGACTTCTCGAATTTTCGATTTTTCAGTTCTTCAATTCTTCAATTTTTCAACTTTGCTTTTTTGGTTTTTCGTTTTCCCAATTTTCCAATTTTTTAATTTCTCAATCTTTGAATTTTTCTTTCAGTTTTGACTCCTTGACTTTTCTATTTTTCGACTTCTGGATTTTTCGATTTTTAATTTTTTGGATTTTCAGTTTTTCGTTTCTTAAACTTTTAAATTTTTCAATTTTTCGACAGTTTTATATTTCAATATTTTAATTTTTTAATTTTTAAAATTCTAGGATTTTCAATTTCTCGAGTTTTCAGTTCTTCTCGATTTTAATTTTTTAAATTTCCGATTTTTCAATGGATGGTTCGATGTTTTGATTGTTCCATTTCTCGAATTTAGCCTTTTTCGGATTGTCAATTTTTCGACTTCTCGACTTTTCGATTCCTCTATTTCTCGATCTTTTGATTTTTTTATTTCTCGATGTCTCAGTTTTTGAATTTTCCGATGGTTCGATTTTACGATTTGTTGGTTTTTTATTTTTTTACTTTTCGACTTTTCAATTTTTCAATTGTCTGGATTTTTAAATTTTCGATTATTACAATTTTTCTTTTTTAAAATTTTCCGATTTTTCAATTTTTTGATTTTTAGATTTATCGAATTCAGATGTTTGGACGTTTTAATTCTTGAATTTCTCGATTCATCAATTTTTCGATTTTTAACTTTTCTTCTCGGCTTTCGACTCCTCAATTTCTCGATTCTCTGATTTTTCGATTTCTCGGTGTCTCAGTTTTTGAATTTTTCGATGTTTCGATTTTTGGATTTCTCGGTATTTCGATTTTTTTGCTTTTGGGCTTTTCAATTATTCGATTTTCCAATTTTTTGATATTTCGATTTTTCAGTTATCCGATTTTTAAATTTTTCACTTTTTTAAATTCTGGAGTTTCAGTTGCTCGATTTGTTGATTTTTCATTTTTTCGATTTTTAAAATTTAGATTTTCGATTTTTTTTTAATTTTTTGCAATATTTTAATTTTTCAATGTTTTAAATTTTAGATTTTTCGATTTCTCGATTGTTTGATTTTTCGGTTCTTCAGTATTTTTGTTTTTCAATTTTTCAAATTTTGACCTTGCTAAATATTCATTTTTCCGATGTCTCAGTTAATTTATTTTTGATTTTCCCATTTCTCGACTTCTCGAAGTTTCGATTTTTCAGTTCTTCAATTCTTCGATTTTTCAACTTTGCTTTTTTGGTTTTTCGATTTCTCAATTTTCCAATTTTTAATTTCTCAATCTTTGGATATTTCTTTCAGTTTTGGGATTTTCCAATGTTTTGATTCCTTGACTTTTCGATTTTTCGACTTCTGGATTTTTCAATTTGTCGAGCTTTCAGTTCTTTTCTATTTTAAGTTCCCGAATTTTTAAATTTTCGATTTTTCAATTTTTTGAGATTTCGATTTATCAATTTTTCCAATTTTAACTTTTCGATTTTTCGGTTTTGGCCTTTTTCGGATTGTCAATTTTTCGACTTTTCGAGTCCTCGATTTCTCGATCTTTTGATTTTATGATTTCTCGATGTTTCAGTTTTTGAATTTTTCGTCTTTTCGATTTTTCGATGTTTTGATTTTTGAATTGTTAAAATTCTACGTCTTCCGATTTCTGGAGGTTTCAGTTCTTCTATATTTCAATTTTTCAATTGTCGATATTTTTAAATTTTCGATTTTTCCAATTTTTCTTTTTTAAAATTTTTCGATTTTTCAATTTTTTGATTTCTCGAATTATCGAATTCAGATGTTTCGACGTTCAATTTCTCGATTCATCAATTTTTCGATTTTTAACTTTTCTTCTCAGCTTTCGACTCCTCAATTTCTCGATCCTCTGATTTTCGATTTCTCGATGTGTCAGTTTTTGGATTTTTGGATGTTTCGATTTTTGGATTTCTCGGTTTTTCGATTTTTTACTTTTAGGCTTTTGAATTTTTCGATTTTCTAATTTTTTATCCAATTTTTAAATTTTTCACTTTTTTAAATTTTGGAGTTTCGATTGCTCGATTTGACAATTTTTCAGTTTTACGATTTTTTAAATTTTTTGCAATATTTTAATTGTTAAATGTTTTACATTTTAGATTATTCGATTTCTCCATTTTTTGATTTTTCAGTTATTCAGTAATTCTGTTTTTCAATTTTTCAAATTTTGACCTTCCTAAATGTTCTGTTTTCCGATTTCTCAGTTAATCTATTTTTGACTTTTCCATTTCTCGACTTCCCGAAGTTTCAATTTTTCAGTTCTTCAATTCTTTGATTTTTCGATTTTTCAACTTTGCTTTTTTGGTTTTTCGATTTCTCAATTTTCCAATTTTTAATTTCTCAATCTTTGGATATTTCTTTCAGTTTTGGTATTCCCCAATGTTTTGATTCTTTAACTTTTCGATTTTTTATTTGCTGTATTTTCAGTTTTTCGTTTTTTGAACGATTTTTCAATTTTCCGACTGTTTTATATATCGATTTCTCAAATTTTCAATTATCAATTTTAATTTTTTGATTTCTCGATGTCTCAGTTTTTGAATGTTTCGATGTTTCGATTCGTCGGTTTTTTAATTTCTTACTTTTTGGCTTTTTTGATTTTGAATTGTTAAAATAGAATTCTAGGTTTTTCGATTTCTCGAATTTTCAGTTCTTCTATATTTCAATTTTTCAATTGTCCGGATTTTCAAATTCTCGATTTTTCCAATTTTTCTTTTTTAAAATTTTTCCATTTTTCAATTTTTTGATTTTTAACTTTCGTTCTCAACTTTCGACTCCTCAATTGCTCGATCGTTTGATTTTTCGATGTCTCAATTTTTGAATTTTTCGATGTTTCGATTTTTGAATTTCTCGGTCTTCAGTATATCTGTTTTTCAATTTTTCAAATTTCTTTCATTTTTGGGATTCTCCAATGTCTTGATTCCTTGACTTTTCTATTTTTCGACTTCTGAATTTTTCGATTTTTTATTTTTTGGATTTACAGTTTTTCGTTTTTTAAAGTTTAGATTTTTCACTTTTTCGAGTTTTAAATTTCTATTTCTCAAATTTTCAACTTTCAGTTATTTTAATTTTTCAATTTTTAAAATACTAGATTTTTCAATTTCTCGAGTTTTCAGTTCTTCTCTATTTTAATTTTTCAAGTTTCCGATTTTTCAATTTTTCACTTTTTTAAATTCTGGAGTTTCGATTTCTCTATTTTGTCGATTTTTCATTTTTTTGATCTTTAAAGTTCTAGATTTTCGATTTTTTTTTTTGCGATATTTTAACTGTTCAATGCTTTAAATTTTAGATTTTTCGATTTCTTGATTTTGTGATTTTTCAGTTTTCCGTATTTCTGTTTTTCAATTTCTCAAATTTTGACTTTGCTAAATATTTAGTTTTCCGATTTCTCAGTTAATCTATTTTTGATTTTCCCATTTCTCAACTTCTCAAAGTTTCGATTTTTCAGTTCTTCAATTTTCCAATTTTTAATTTCTGAATCTTTGGGTATTTCTTTCAGTTGTGGTATTCTCCAATGTTTTGATTCCTTGACTTTTCAATTTTTCGAGAGTTTTATTATTTCGATTTCTCCAATTTTCAACTTTTCTATATTTTAACTTTTCAATTTTTAAAATTCTAGATTTTTTAATTTCTTGAGTTTTCAGTTCTTCTCTACTTTAATTTTTCAAGTTTCCGAATTTTTTAATTTTCGATTTTTCAATTTTTCGAGATGCGGATGATTCGATGTTTTGATTGTTCAATTTCTCGATTTATCAATTTTTCCAATTTTAACTTTTTTCGATTTTTCGATTTGTCGGCTTTTTGATTTTTCACTTTTCGGCTTTTCGATGTTTTGATTTTTGAATTATCCGATTGTTCAACTTTCCAACTTTTTCAATTTTACGATATTTTAATTCTTCAATGTTTTAAATTTCTGATTTTTCAAATTTTAACGTTTCTGAATTCAGTTTTCCAATTTCTCAAGTAATCTATTTTTTGATTTTCCCATTTCTCGACTTCCCAAAGTTTCAATTTTTCATTTCTTCAGTTCTTCAATTTTGAGATTTTCCAGTTTTTCGATTTTTCAATTTTTAGATTTTTTAAGTTTGCGATTTTTCGACATTGCTTTTTTGACTTTTCGATTTCGCAATTTTTCAATATTCTAATTTCCCAATTTATGGATATTTGGTTCAATTTTCTGATTTTTCAGTTTTTCGATTCTTCGTTTTTTCGTTTTTTAACTTTAGGTTTTTCAATTTTTAAAATTTTCAATTTTCGATTTTCCAATTTTGCGATGTTTCGATTTTTCAATTATCCGATTGTTCAATTTACGATTAAGGAATCAATTCTTAGCTAAACAAAAAAATAATTGCGTGTCAAAATTGAGTGAAACATGTGAGAAGTGATATTATGTTTGTAAATAATAATAATTATTTCTAAACGCTTAGAGTCGACACTGGCCTGAGCGCGCTGCGGTCTGTGGATCAAACAAGTTCTCAAGTGTATTATCCATTCTTATTACTTGAGCACTAGTCTGACTGAAGCGCCTCGGCACTATGTAATCTTCAGCCGGCAAAAAAAGCCCACTCGCGCATCCCTCTCGAATTCCGATTCCAAACCTGTTAATATGGTAGCTGTCCCCTATATGAACTTCATTAATTTGGCTTTGTCGATTCCTCAGCGAAAACTGCGACACTTTCCTAGGTACGACAAACTGCGAAATGCTCGGTGAATTCATGATTGGCTTATAACTCGTATAATCGTCGAAACTTTTACCCAAATACAAGTACCGATCCGTCCACTTTGGAATGAGGTTCTGTAATTTCGTAAAATAAAACAGACGTAAATTAACATTGCTTCCGCTACCGAAGTTTGTTTTTTACCGGTCCCGAACTTGCACCACACTTGCGTCAAGCCGTTGGGCTTCACCACCTGCCTACTGTCGACCAGATACAGGGTACTGTTGGTACTCGACGTGGCTACGGACGTTTCGGACTGCGAAGAACCAGACTCTGGAGACAAAAATTTCACTTTTTCGCACCACAGGTTCCAGAACATCTACGAGAAGCCAGTGAGGTGGTATCACGGATACAACAAAGTACTTACAGTACGATTCTCGAACCCGCCGAGTTCGAAGTAAAAGACGCGGTTGTTGCAGAAATGCGCTTTTATGGTTTGCCTTTTGCGTCGACGGAACACGCTTAGATTGACGCAGTCTATTGGATAAATCGCGATTAACTCGAACGTTTCGATGTCTGGATCGATGCCCGGAAGGAAATCCACGCAAGATTTTTCCACTGGTGGCAGCACGTCGGTTGCCAGTACTAATTTGGATGGGGTTAAACCCAAGTGTACTTGACGAAGGCCTCTTCCTTCTCGGGTTGTTTGAGCGAAAGGGCTTTCAATCAATACCATATCTTCGAAATCACAGTATTCCGAAAATAGCAGTTTCTGCACGCGTTTGATAGACATGACATAAATTTCGGAAGAAAAAACTCACCATTCTGATTAGAAGGAATATATTTGCACTTTGCGTTACGTCAGATTAAAATACACATTGTTTGAAAGTTTAGTTGACAGACATACGAATATGATTTGATTTATATATTATTATTATAAAAAAAATACATTACCTACATAGCGACCATTTTAATTCTAAATATTTTAAGTGCTTATCACAATATACTCGTCACGATTTTTCTGCGATACACAAGATTAAATATGAGACAGATTAAATATTTGCACTTGGATCGACAATTGCACTCCTCCAAAGACACCCTCGTCGCTATGGCTAAGCCACTGGAAGGGGTTGATCATTGATGACCGTTGGCCTGTAAAAACGCACAAAATTAAAATCAACCACGAAAACGCCACCACAAGAAAGTATTAGACTTAAAACCGTCAGACCGTTAGTACAGAACAGAAAAGTACCATTAACCAACTGAAGCTTCAGCTTTTTTCAAATCTGATCAAGATTAATTAACAAAACCTCACGAAAACGACGAGAGAAGAATTTGAAATATTAGAACCAAAGTGGGTACATAATCATGCGGTTAGTTTTTTTTTTTTCTCTTACATTTCTCCAAACGTAATACTTTTTTGTTGCACCAAAGGTTTATGCGTGCCATTTTTTAAAATTCCACTGGGTGTATCCGTCTTCTTTTCCCCGGAATTAACGTTAATCGTGACGCGGTTGGCAAGAGCTTTCGAAAAACTCTCCAAGTCGGTCAAGTCGTTGGTAGATTTCGCAAAGTTTTTGGCAAGACTATCATTAAATGAGATACGCACGGATCCATTATTTTGAGGCTTTATTTGATTTAAAAAATTCTCCTGGAAATTGCCCAAAATCTACCACAAATCTCGCAAACGTTCGATACGTACCATTGACTCAGTCCTTTTCTTAAGATTCGAGCGATTCAGAGTTTGAGCCAGTTCTGATGCCAGTTGGTTGGAGATCGGACCTTTGGACTTGGTCTCGTCGATGGTACAGTTCTGGAGAAAATCCAGGCGGCCGGGCGTCCTCCTCATGGTTTCGGAAGGGTACTCCCCGATTGTGATACTGACGGGTCGCTTTCTCAAACTAGAACTGTTCGTGGTACCGATGGGTGATAGCCTGAAATAGGTATCTGGCGGTTTCGGTTTCACTCCTCCAGGTTGGTTTAGTTTGAAAGATTCTAACGATTCCATTTCGACTGCATCGTTTTGACTAGGTTTGCAACCGTTTTGCTTTGGTAGTGATGACGTCGTTGATGTAATGCTGAGCGTGTCGTAATCGGGAGTGGGGCATGGAGGCGGTTGATGGTACGACAAAGTCGATGTTTTGATAGGAACTGGGGGTGCTTTTCCCTTCTTTGTCGATTTTAGTACAGGAAGACCATCCAAGTCGGAATTCGGGGGCTGCGAAATTATCAATTATAATATCTACACTTGAGAACTAGTTTGATCCACAGACCGGAGCGACTCAGGCAAATGTCGACTCTAAACGTTTAGAATTTCAACGGGGAATAGTTATTATTTAGATGCTTTAACATATTTACAAACATAATATCACTTCTCACATATTTCACTCGATTTTGACATGCAACTATTTTTTTGTTTAACTAAGAATTGATTCCTTAATCGTAAATTGAACAATCAGATAACTGAAAAATCGAAACATCGCAAAATTGCAAAAAATCGAAATTTTGAAAATTCCGAAAATTGAAAAATTTAAATATAGAAGAACTGAAAACTCGAGAAATCGAAAAATCCTAAAAGTGAAATAATGAAAAATTGAAGAATAGAAAAACTGAAAAATCACAAAATTGAACGAAGTATCCATAAATTGAGAAATTAAAATACTGAAAAATTGGGAAATCGAAAATCAAAAAAGCAAAGTCGAAAAATCGCACACTTCAAATATCGAAAAATTAAAAAATCAAAAACCTGAAAAATCGAAAAAATTGAAGAACTGAAGAACTGTAAAATTGAAACATTGGGAAGTCGAGAAATGGGAAAATCAAAAACTAGATTAATTAATCGAGAAAACTGAAAATTCAGAAACGTCAAAATTTGAAAAATTAAAAAATATTGAAGAGCTGAAGAATCGGAACAACATTGAAAAATTAAGATATCGTAAAATTGAAAAAAATAAAAATTAGAAAATCTAAAATTTAAAAATCGAAAAACTGAAAAATCAACAAATCGAGAAGTCGAAACTTGAAAATTTAAAAAATCGGGACGTTGAAAAATCGGATAATTCAAAAATCAAAACATCGAAAAGCCGAAAAGTAAAAAATCAGAAAACCGAGAAATCGAAAAATCAAAAGATCGAGAAATCGAGAATCGAAAGTCAAGTCGAAAAATTGAAAAATTGACAATCCGAAAAAGGCCAAAATATAAAAGTTAAAAATGGAAAAATTGATAATGGGAGATCGAACAATCAGAACATCGAACCATGATAACTAAAAACTCGAGAAATTCAAAAATCTAGAATTTTATAAATTGAAAAATTAAAATATCGAAAAGTTGAAAATTTTAGAAATCGAATATAAAACTGTCGAAAAATTGAAAAATCTTAAAGTATAAGACACGAAACGAAAAGTCAAAGAATCGAAACATTGTAAAAAAAATCGAAAATTGAGAAATCGAAAAACCAAAAAAGCAAAGTCGAAAAATCGAAGAATTGAAGAACTGAAAAATCGAAACTTCGAGAAGTCGAGAAATGAGAAAATCAATTATCTAAATTTTAAAAATCGAAAAAATGAAAAATCGACAAATCGACAAATTGAAACTCCAGAAAAACCGAAAATTTTCAAAATCGGATAACAGAAAAATCGAAACATCAAAAAATTGGAAAATCGAAAAATTTAAAAGCCCAAAAGTAAAAAATCAAAAAAACGAGAAATCCAAAAATCGAAACATTGAAAAATTCAAAAACTGGGACATTGAGAAATCGAAAAATCAAAGGATCCAGAAATTGAGAACTCGAAAGCTGAGAAGAAAAGTTAAAAATCAGAAAATTGAAAAATCGAAAAATTTTAAAAAAGAAAAATTGGAGAAATCGAAATTTAAAAAATTGAAATATAGATGAACTGAAAACTCGAAAAATTGAACAATCAAAACATCTAACCATCCGGCCGCATCTCAATAAATCGAGATCTCAAAAAATTGAAAAATCGAAAATTTAAAAATTCGGAAACTTGAAAAATTAAAATCGAGAAACTGAAAAATCTAGAATTTTAAAAATTGAAAAATTAAAATATCGAAAAGTTGAAAATTTGAGAAATCGAAATATAAAACTGTCGAAAAATTGAAAAAATCCAAAGTTTAAAAAACTAAAAACTGAAAATCCAAAAAATAAAAAATCGAAAAATCCAGAAGTCGAAAAATCGAAAAGTCAAGGAAACAAAACATTGAAGAATCCCAAAACTGAAAGAAATATCCAAAGATTGAGAAATTAAAAATTGGAAAATTGAGAAATCGAAAAACCAAAACAGTAACATTGAAAAATTGAAGAACTGAAAAATCGAAACTTCCAGAAGTCGAGAAGTGGGAAAATCAAAAATGAAAAATCGACAAATCGACAAATTGAAACTCCAGAATTTAAAAAACCGAAAAATTTAAAAATTGGATAACTGAAAAATCGAAACATCAAAAAATTGGAAAATCGAGAAATTAAAAAGCCTAAAATTAAAAAATCGAAAAACCGAAAAAATCTAAAAATTCAGCAACTTGAAAAATTAAAAGCAAGAACTGAAAACTCGAGAAATTGATAAATCTAGAATTTTAAAAATTAAAAAAACGAAAAATCGACAAATCGAGAATTCGAACCTCCAGAATTTAAAAAAGGGAAAAATCGAAAAGTCAAGGATTTCTTTCAATTTTGGGATTCTCCAATGTTTTGACATTGGAGAATCCCAAAATTGAAAGAAATATCCAAAGACTGAGAAATTAAAAAACTGGAAAATTGAAAAATCGAAAAACCAAAAAGGAAAGTCGAAAAATCCAAGAATTGAAGAACTAAAAAATCAAAAATCGAGAAATCTAAAAATCAAAAATTTAAAGCATTGAACAATTAAAATATCGCAAAAAATAAAAAAAATCGAAAATCTAAATTTTAAAAATCGAAAAAATGAAAAATCGACAAATCGAGAAATCGAAATTCCAGAATTTAAAAAAGTGAAAATTCAAAAATCGGATAACCGAAACATCGAAACATCAAAAAATTGTAAAAATCGAAAAATTGAAAAGCCCAAAAGTAAAAGTCGAAAAACCGAGAAATCCAAAAATTGAAACAGAAAAATTCAAAAACTGAGACATCGAGAAATCGAAAAATCAAAGGATCCAGAAATTGAGAACTCGAAAGCTGAGAAGAAAAGTTAAAAATCAGAAAATTGAAAAATCGAAAAATTTTAAAATAGAAAAATTAAAAAAATCGAAAATTTAAAAATCCGAAAAATTGAAATATAGAGAAACTGAAAAACTCGAGAAATCGAAAACCTAGAATTTTAACAATCCAAAAATCAAAACATCGAAAAATTCAAAAACTGAGACATCGGGAAATCAAAAAATCAAAAGATCGGCAAATCGATGAGTCGAAAAGTCGAGAAGTCGAAAAATTGACAATCCGAAACAGGCCAAAATCGAAAACTTGAAAAGTTAAAACTGGAAAAATTTAAAAATTCGGAAACTTGAAAAACTAAAATAGAGAAGAACTGAAAACTCGAGAAATTGAAAGATCTAGAATTTTAAAAATTGAAAAATTAAAACATCGAAAAGTTGAAAATTGGAGAAATCGAAATATAAAACTCTTGAAAAATTGAAAAATCTAAAGTTTAAAAAACGAAAAACTGAAAAAACCCAAAAAATACAAAATCGAAAAATCCAGGAGTCGAAAAATCGAAAAATCAAGGAATCAAAACATTGTAGAATCCCAAAACTGAAAGACTCCTCGATTTCTCGATTTTTTGATTTTTCGATTTCTCGATGTCTCAGTTTTTGACTTTTTCGATGTTTCGATTTTTCAATTTGTCAGTTTTTTGATTTTTTATTTTTCGGCTTTTCGATTTTTCGATGTTTTGATTTTTGAATTATCCAATTTTTCAATTTTCCAATTTTAGATTTTCGAATTTTTATTTTTTTCAATTTTACGATATTTTAATTTTTCCATGTTTTAAATTTCAGATTTTTTGATTTTTCGATTTTTCAGTTCTTCAAATTTTTTAATTTTTTAAATTTTGACGTTTCTAAATTTCCTATTTTCCAAATCGAGAAATCGAAACTCCAGAATTTAAAAAAGGGAAAAATTTTAAATCGGATAACTGAAAAATCGAAACATCAAAAAATTGGAAAATCAAAAAATCGAAAAGCTCAAAACTGAAAATCGAAAACCGAAAAGAAATAAATTGAGAAGTTGAAAGCTGAAAAGAAAAGTTAAAAATCAAAAAATTGAAAAATCGAAAGATTTTAAAAAACAAAAATTGGAAAAATCGAAAATATCATTGAAACACCGGAAAATTGAGAAATCGAAAAATACAAAAAAAACGAGAAATCGAAAATTTGAAGAATGGAAAAATTGAAAAAGCCCAAAATTGAAATATTGCAAAATTGAGACATCTACAGTTGAAAAAACGAGAAATTGTCATCAATTCCTGGGAGCATGAACGAATAAATTTTGACTAGCGAATTAACATGCTTCCAATAACTATAAATTGGAAAACGTTGCAAAACGTCTAAGGTAAAAACTCAACACGTATTCATAAACCGTAAACAGAGGATATAAAATTTAAATTACACCTACTATTGCAAAATTTGGAGATTACGTCACTTCATTGTTGGTGACAATTTTGATGAGTGTTCTACCATTTGATAATACAATTTGAAATATAAATTTTGTCATTCGGGAACAGTATGTATTAAATCGTTAAAATGTGCAAGAACTTTGTGCACCTATTCGTTCAGCTCTATCGAAAGTCGGCTTAGAGTCGATATTGGCCTGAGTGCGCTCTGGTCTGTAGCTCAAACAAGTTCCCAGGCGCCAATTTGGTCAATGTACGAGATTTCAGAACCAAAGTGCATTTCGTTTAAATCGTTGTCAATAGCCGATACTTACCGGGGGTGGCGGTGGCGGCGGCCCAGAGTTCCGACTTGTCAAGCAGTCCTGGAATTTTTCTTGAGCGGACAGATTCGATAATCGTTCGGACAGTTTCTGCGACAATTCCTTACCGGCGATACGATCCTAGCACGAAAAAAGAAACTTTATTACGTAATTATACGCTCAAGCGACGATGTGAAAAATCCACGGAAGCACAAGAAATTGTGGTGAGTGGTTTAGATAGCTACACGATGGAAGTCCAATAGACCTTGGTACTGTTTAAAGTACCTATCTGCGTACGAAAAATGACGATGTACTACCAAGGTTGTAAACATAATAAAGTTACAGCAAACAACATGGAAAAATATTAGTTCCTGCCATGAAAAATTATGTCCGGTATTTTCAACTTACTTCGTAGGTCTGAAGAATGAAAGCAGGTTTTTTATCTCTTTTGATTCTATCCATCATTCTGCGAAACTTGACGCAAAAACTAACAAAATCGCACAGTAAAACCGACAACGACAACCGCGCTCGCTAGAAATCGACTGGCACGTAGTACCTATACCTTGCGTTTTACTTTTTAACAATGGTGACGTCTATTATCGGTTCCCGAAACCATTTAACAATATTGTATGCATTTATCGAGTTTGATAAGTGTTGATACCGATAACCCACGCATCTGATAATAGCTCGATGATAAAAACTTCCTGATTTCCACACAAATGCATTAGAAATTCAGTTATTCTATTTTTTACTAGGAAAATAGTTCTAAAATATAACTATATTTGAAACTTAACAAGCACAATAATTGGATGTTAATAGGGTTCATTTTATTTACACAATACTCATTTCATAGTAAACGTTTTGTTTTTCATTTAGTTCGACTGTATCTACGTATAATAATACGGTTGTTGCAATACTTTCTTCGTATATACTTTCGTCCAATTTAATTAGTCAATGTGGAAACAGTCAGTTTTCTTTGTTGTAAGTTTTAAACAAAAGGATTATAAACATAATTAAACCAGATGTTGAAATTTGTTTCATTTTTATTATGTAACAGCGATTTAGTCCAATGAAATCAATTGTGGTTTCGAGATGAAATTCCCATGTTCTTACATTGTACGGGACTGAATTTGATAATTTTAACGTTCTTTGAACCTCGAACAAAAATCCAACTACTTAAATAAGTTTACGAAATGAAGGTACCACACTGTAATCGACCTTGATGCATTAAGCGTACTTCTTTATGACAGCATCTCTAATAAAGTGTGCGCTAGCTACTAAGTGAACTGCTGAATCATACTTGATTTCATCTCAAAATTTTACTAAGTAAATTTCGTGGTAAATGTACATTGTGACACGCTCCTTTATCAGAGGTTTCATAACGTGCTCATATTTCTAAGCTTACGCATATGGGTTATCGCAAAAAATACAACGAAATTCGAGATAAATTGTCCAATCTACGTTTCTACCGACAAATTTTTTTTGCAATTTTGGCAAGGCATGTAGCTAACTATTTATACTTTAAGTCCCCACAAAATTAATGCACGAAATAATTTACTATTGAACCAAAAATGGCTTAACCAATTTTCCCAAAATTTGAAAAAAACTGTTGGTACTTGTGTGATGTATTTTTAAGTCGAAATACTGTAAGAAGAACATGATGATTCATCACAATCTGTCACTTGGGTTTGAACCAGTAGAGTACCACTTGTGTTTTAAAATAGAAGCACTCTAAAATACATTTCCGCTCGATCTATCAATGATGTTTCAAATTCTGATCTTGAACCCAGGGACAAATGGGACCATCTGGGAATCTGGAATTTTCTCTTATAGTGAACTTTTCTGCTACTACGTGTAAAGATGAGACTGATTTTGGCAAATGATATACCCTCTAAAAAAATAAAGGGACTAGTACTTATAACTTAAAACGCTTTTACACTTTTGAACTTCACTTTATGAAAACCCAACACGAACTAATTTATACAGGAAGAGAACTTGAAAAAAAAGTTGCAGGAGGGTTTGCTGTATTTAACACACCAAAGCTGTTCCTAGAAAAGCAAGACAACTTCTGTTGGGGTCTGTAAATGGATGTTTTAATTATTTTAAAACCTTATCTGTTCAATAAAGTTTGTTCTTTTATGGTTTACGCAGAAAAATAGATTTGGATTATTGAATCGTCGGCATTTTGATAACGGATTTTTTTTCCCTAAAACTCAACCTTGATCTTCCAGTTCGAATGGAATACCTACTGTTGGTTGTGTTAACTATCAATTTATCAATTCCTACAGTCTTTATAAGCAACAAAGCCTACAAAACGAGTGATTAAAATGGAATACTGGATGAGCAGGGCCACTACTGACTTTGTTTTAAATCTTACGTTTCACCGTTTTTCAACATAGAATTCAATTCCCATTTTACAATAAATAAAATAAGTCAGTTAAATGTAGAAAAAAATTGGGGGGGCTGGGTTTCGTTTTTTCTACATCCCTTCTTCATTCTATTGACTACTCTTGATATTGTTCAGTCTTATCTTAGCAATTACTAGCCCCGCCCACCCACCCTCTATTTTCTTACAGGGTATATGATTTGCCAAAATCAGTCTTATCTTAGAAAATACAAGCCCCGCCCACCCCCCCCTCTATTTTCTTACAGGCTATATGATTTGCCAAAATCAGTTTTATCTTAACAAGTACTAGCCCACCCATCCGCCCTTTATTTTTTTAGAGGGTAAGGGCACGTTTAGACTAGTGCGTAATAGATTCATTCTCATTCGTGCTAGCCTGTTGACCAGTCCACTTAAGTTTGCTTCCCTGTGTTATTGTTTGGGATTTAAAAAAATATTTTTAAAAAACCGCCCCCTTCTGAAATGTGCATGTTACGCTACTGACTGACAGTCCGTTGTCAGATCCTGATGACTCAATATGTTGAACTTAAAATAATCCATCTCTACGTATAATAATTTATGATTCTCTATAATAGATATATTTCCTATTATACTGGCTACTCCTCACCGTCAGAACGGGACTCTACAAAATAAAATCAGCAATTGGTCTCGAAGTATGGGTGCTAAAAGTAAAAAAAGTTCAAGTAAAAGTGTTCTCCTTTTAGAGATAAAAATTATTAAAATTTATGTCCAAATTCGTTGTACGCCTATGATAAAAAGGTCATCTTTCGTTTCTATAGCAACAAAAGGGTCTCTTATTTTTTTATTATTGTTGTTTATTTACTAAAATAAATTAATTTTACCTATTTATCCTTCAGTAGCGTCTAAAAAGATTGGATAAGGGTTAATTTTCCCCTTAAAATTTTGATAACACAAAATAAGTTGTTCAGAGTTCTTAGACTCCGCGACGAACTGTCAGTTTTGTTGTACGTACTTTTCAATAACACCCTGTATTACTATTTATTAATAATTATATCAGAATCGTGAAATGCAGTACATAAATATATCTATAAATAAATAAAAAACAGTATAGACAATTACTTGAGATATATATATATACCTACGTAACATATATATTATTATCAATATTATCTCTTATTATTGTGCTTCAATAACATTATTTGTTTTATTTTCTATGTATTTTTGTATTTTGTTTTCAGACTTGTTGACAATTTAAAAAAAATGTACTTGAGTGATAATTTCACTGACGTGAAATTTTAGAAATATCGTTTACTATTTTTATATTTTCCTTTTTTTTTTTAATATACATAACCATCTTTTCACAACAAAAAACTTAAAACATGCTTAAAATGGTACATTTTTGCAAGGAAATATGGATTTTCCAATTATGGGGCGAAGCCTAATTGCTAAATCGATATTTCCTCATACAAATTTTCCGTTTTAAACATATATCAAGTTGTGAAAAGAAGTCTACACATATTAAAATACAAAGACAAAATATAAGCCCGCCCACCCGCCCGATCTCAATTGTGATGACTTTTTTTATTCGCCATAAACCAAGGGGACAGAGCTTAACTGCAAAATACTTATTTCGTTACAAGAAAATAAAAACATTTTTTTGAGTATCGTGTTGTTCAAAGAATACTAGGTACATTAAGAAAAAGGGCAAAATATAAACCCCGCCCACCCACCCCATCTCAATTGTGATTTTTTTTATTTTTAAAAACTTAATACATGTTTAAAAGGTCAAGAAATACGGATTTTGCAATTAGGCCCGTCTCTAGGTCTACCAGCGAATGAAAACTTCATTATTATTTAGATCAGGGCAAGTATGGGTGGGACTTAATCTTTGGTTTTAATTTTTTCGTAGTGAAATGTAGAAAAGAATTGGGCGGGCTGGGTTTCGTTTTTTCTACACCCCTTCTTCATTCTATTGTCTTGATATTGTTCAGTCTTATCTTAGCAAATACTAGCCCCGCCCACCCACCCTCTATTTTCTTACAGGGTATATGATTTGCCAAAATCAGTCTTATCTTAGAAAATACAAGCCCCGCCCACCCCCCCTATAGTTTCTTAGAGGCTATATGATTTGCCAAAATCAGCCTTATCTTAACAAGTGCTAGACCACCCATCCGCCCTTTATTTTTTTAGAGGATAAGGGCACCTGTTTAGATTAGTGCCTAATAGATTCATCCGCATTTGTGCTAGCCTGTTGACCAGTTCACTTGCGTTTGTTTCCCTGTGTTATTGTTAGCGATTTAAAAAAATAAATTGAAAAAACCACCCCCTTCTGAAGTGTGCATGTTACGCTACTGACTGACAGTCCGTTGTCAGATTCTGATGACTCAACATGTTGAACTTAAAATAATCCATTTCTACGTGGCTTTCGTCCATCAGTCCTGACTAGCTACTCTTCGCCGTCAGAACGTGAGATACAATACATAAATATATCTATAGATAAATAAAAAACAGTATGGACAATTACTTGAGATATATTTACCTACGTAACATATTGTTTTATTTTCTATGTATTTTTGTATTTTGTTTTCAGAGTTGTTGACAATTTAAAAGTGAGTGATAATTTCACTCACGTGAAATTTTAGAAATATTGTTTTTTATTTTTATATTTTACCTTTTTTTTTTGTTAATATACATAGCCATCTTTTCACAACAAAAAACTTAAAACATGGTTAAATTTTAATAAAATAGTACATTTTTGCAAGGTAATATGTATTTTGGAATTATGGGGCGAAGCCGTTTGAAACATATGTATTTCAAGTTGTGAAAAGAAGTCTACACATATTAAAACAAAAAGACAAAATATAAGCCCGCCCACCCGCCCGATCTCAATTGTGATGATTTTTTTAATTCGCCGTAAACCAAGGGGACAGAGCTTAACTGCAAAATACTTATTTCTTTAGAAGAAAATAAAAACATTTTTTTGAGTATCGTGTTGTTCAAATACTATATACATTAAGAAAAGGGGCAAAATATAAACCCCGCCCACCCACCCCATCGCAATTGTGATTTTTTTTTTTGTTCTTAAAAACTTAATACACGTTTAAAATGGTAAATTTTTGTGTAGAAATGCGAATTTTGCAATTAGGCCCGCCTCTAAGCCTACCAGCGAATGAAAACTTCATTACTATTTCAATTAGGGCAGGTATGGGTGGGGCTTAATCTTTGGTTTTAATTTTTTGTAATATAAATATGTAGTATTCTTTGAATAACACGATATTCAAAAACATGTTTTTAATTTCGCGTACAGAAATAAATATTTTGCAGTTAAATTCCCCCTTCTTGGCTCACGATGAATACCAAAAATCGTCACAATTGAGACAGGGTGGGTGGGCGGGCTTACAATTTGTCTTTTTACTTCCCGAGCGTAAGCAAAGGAAGTATTGTAATCGAGTCCGTCGGCCGACTCTCTACTTTTACGTTTTCTCGATCTTTCATGACCCCTAGAAGACGAAGAAATAGGTCTCCCATTTCCGTCTGTCTGTCCGTCTGTCCGTCTGTCCGTCTGTCCGTCTGTCCGTCTGTTGTCACGGATTTTTATTAGACAGATAATCTCCGAAAGTACTGGACCGATTGTTGTGAAATTTTGTACTTATATTAAGAATATCATGTAGATGGTAAAACGCTAACCAAAATTTGTCGAATCATCCCCACCACTAAAGCGATGACGTCACTTCAAAATTGTACATAGTAAATGGGTTTTCAATTGTATAAAATAACATAGTCCTACACATGTAGTTTACAACTCTGAATCGAATTTTCACCCGAAACGTACAGATTTTTGGAAAAAAAATCAAAATTATAAAACAACATTTTGAAATTTAATTTTTAATCTGCTAACCAGAATGCTTTGAAATGTTGCAGATGTTTTAAGGCTATAAAGAGCATCATAAATCTTTAGTCAAAAAATATTTGCTTATCCCCTCCAAAAACTTGATGACGTCAGCTCAAAAGTTTGTGGAATAAATCATATCTAAAATGTACAAAATATGATGAGTCTGTACTTGTGAACTATCACTCCATTAATATTTTTTGGATTTGCATATACAGGGTGACTCAAAAAAATTAATGAATGCGTAAATATATTTTATTGATTTAATCAGGAACTACAAAACCGAATGCTCTGAAATCTTGCAGATGTTTTAAGGTCATAAAGAGCATAATAAATGTTTAGTCAAAATATATTTGCTTATCCCCTCCAAAAACTTGATGACGTCAGCTCGAAAGTTTGCCGAATAAATCATATCTAAAATGTACAAAATATGATGAGCCTGTACTTGTCATTTATCACTCCATTCATATTTTTTGGATTTGCATATACAGAGTGACTCAAAAAAATTAATGAATGCGTAAATTTATTTTATTGATTTAATCAGGAACTACAAAACCGAATGCTTTGAAATCTTGCAGATGTTTTAAGGTTATAAAGAGCATAATAAATTTTTAGTCAAAATATATTTGGTTATCTTCTACAAAAAACTGATGACGTCAGCTCAAAAGTTTTCCGAATAAATCGTATCTAAAATGTACAAAATATGATGAGTCTGTACTTGTGATTTATCATTCCATTCATATTTTTGGATTTGCATATGCAGGGTGACTCAAAAAAATTAATGAAGGCGTGAATTTATTTTATCGATTTAATCAGGAATTACAAAACCGAATGCTTTGAAATCTTGGGAATATTTTAAAGTTATTATAAGCATGGTAAACTTTTGTTCAAAATGTATTTGTTCATCCCTCCTAAAAAAATTTATGACGTCACCCTTAAATTTTGCTGAATAAATCCTATCTAAAATGCAAAAAATATGATGAGTTTGTACTTGTGATTTATCATTCCATTCATATTTTTTAGATTTTCTTAAGAGGTGGTTCAAAAAAATTAATGAAGTCAATTTATTTTATTGATTAAATTAAAGGCAACACTTATTATTAGTATTACACCCCAACCAACCCAATTTGGTAGACACAAAATTTGTTAAAGGAAAAACTCGGTTGAAACATAAGGGTAGCACGCTTATTTACATCGACTTTAACATTACAGACCTGCATTTGTTTTATGCGTTCACTTGATTCCGCGAATATGAAATAGACATGTTTATAATCAACCAATTGTGAATTTCACCGTCAAGAATTAAAATAAAACCCAATGTTTTATATAATAAGCGGAAGTCGAAGCAATAAAACCGACGGTCGTTTTGTTTACAGTTTCTGTGTTTGGCTCTCACGTATGCTGTTACGCCTGTCATCTTAAATTAACAATGTTTATACATACACGATTTTCAGTTGCCTCTGATACGTAGGTTTTTGTGAGTAAATTGTTTCGTTATTTTATTGATTATTACAAATCAATATTCAAACGACCCAATTCATTTTCCCGAAAATTTGAGAATATAATAATTTTATTCTTAGTATTACACTACATCTATCCCAACTGATATACGTGTCCTTGCAAAAATGTTGATGACGTCATCGCAATTTTTTTTTAAATTCCCACTACAAAAATGTAATGAGAAAAAAAACACAATAGGCATGCAGTCGTCAAGTTTCCGACAGCGAGGGAAGTACTGTCTAAACTCTTTAGACCAATTTTTTTCTTAATATGTGTGGACTTATTTTGGCAACAAGTAACTTAAAACATGTCTAAAATGGTAAATTTTCGTAGTAATCAACTTAAATCCTCTACTTTTCTTCAACCCCTTTAAATACGGCAGTTGAACATCAAAGTTACTATCTGCAACGGGAACTTCAACGTCAACGGCAAGTTTATAAATCCCACTTAACTATTGAAAGGTTTTAACTGAGACAGACAAGAAGGGAAGTCCGAGTTAAAAAAAATACACATAGTAATATTTCTTTGAACTCACCAAAATGTCTTTTCCCACAGCAGACGTAGCTTCCATTGGTGCATTATCCGCCGGTTTGAACATCTTCTGGTGCGCTTTCTTGAACTCGTCCATAAGCTGGTTATGCTGATGTTGCTTCTCAGACGTAACATTTTTGAGAATCTTCTTCATTTGGAGTTGTTCGTCGATGGTGGGTCCGTTTTGTTCGCTTTGTTTTTTCTGCAAGCAAATTGATGATCGTTCGATTTGGTCGCGCTATTTGTTTACCTCCGATCTCCTCTGAAGTTCCTGACATATCGCGCTAGACAAACTGCTCGATGTTGCGCTGCTTCTGCTGGCCAGACTTGAGAAACTGCAGGTCGACGAACTTTTGACCAACGAATTTGTAAGTTTCTTTTCGTCGCTAGTCCTATGCACTTCGATCATGATCGTCTTCTCCTCCTGTCCCAAATCCATGCCACTGGAGCCTTGAATGCCTTGGAACTCTTCCTCCGTCCCGTTATTCTTGATGGTCGTTCCGCTCTCGGACAGATTAATAATCGTGGGTTTGAAGTATTGCTTCTTTTCGTCTTTCTGGTCGTCGTCCCAGGCGCTCTTCTCCCATTTCAACCGATCCAGCCGATCTTCCAGGTCCAAGCTCTCCTCTTTGACAATCGACAGACGTTTCGAGTCCGACCACGAAGGACTCTGGTCTCCAGTTACTGAACTCGCTGAACTATTGTAACCGCTCGACTCGCCAGGAAAAAGCTCCGAACCGGCAGATTTACGAACTATTAAATCGAGTTGTCGTGAGGTTTTCATTAGATTTACGGCCTGTAAAATGTCGGGGGGTGGTTGAAATTATGGTTTATGATGCAGTGAGTTGAATACCTCGCCGAATGGGATGTCACTGAAGTCCACGTTGTTGCAGAATAGGATTTGATCGCCGGGTCGAAGGCCAGCCTCGCGCGCTATTCCTCCTTCTTTTGTGAACTGAACGAAGATGCCGGGTTTCCATTCGGGGCCTTTGCAGATGCTTGAAAACAAACATTTTCAAAAAGAAATACATATTTGAGTTTTACCAACTGTTGAATAGCAAAAAATAGACACTTACCCACACCCTAACTTTGAGCGAGGTGCCACCATGATATTGACTCGCATGTCCTGCATTTTTTCGCTAAGCGGCGGCGACGACCTCAAAGATGAATTATCGGTAATGATTTGCCAACTAAGAGTATCTGTTCTCTTGCTGAAAATGTAATCATATGAAATTAAAAATATTAAGTTTGACTTTTTGATCTATGTCTCGCTCTTGCAATTACTTTTAGATAAATACTTACTCTTTAACTGGAATCATGCCTACACCTGCAACAAAAATCACTATTGTACCGACAGGGAAGCAATAATCATAAATATATTTTTTGCGAGAGAGTGGTTCGATCCAGCGGTGTCAATCTTTGTTTTGTTTTTTGCCATCCAGGAATGTCGAACTGCTTGGATGAAGAAAGGTAAGCGTTTACTTAATAACGTTTGTATGGTTCGCTGGTCTTTTGTACTTTGGTTACCTTGGACGGTTTGTAATTTTGATATTATTAATAACGATAATAATTAATTAAATAAACATTTATTAGAATGTTGATAATAATTTAACGTGTTCGTTATGAACCGACATCTCATGCAGATATACAAAAACTCCAAGTTACAGTAACGAGAACAGTTAATTCGCCCCGCCTCTACTTCTCTTCCAAACATGAATGATTTTCGATTTCACCTAAACAAACTACTAAATTCAAAGAATTTGCTGACCTCTAGTCAACTCCGCCTAACGGACCGCACTTCGGCCACTGACTGTGTAGTATCGGTTTTTGTCTATATCGATAGATAAATGCAAAACTTTGCTGGGTTTTGTCGCTAGCTGACCTGCAGCAGGAAACCCATTATAGGAAATAATTGCTTCGAAGATGGTCAATATCCTCTGGGGCCTCTTTTTAATCATCGATTTAATTGGTTTCGGTCAAACGGCCTTTAATTAAGTCCGTATCGCGACTGCGTTAGTTTAAAAAATTTAGCGCTAGTTCGTCTACTTACTTCTCACTTTCAAGGTTAGATGCGTATGGTTGGAGATCAGCTGAAGGACTTCTTTGTGGACGGCGTCCTCGACGGTGAAGCCATTGACTCGAATAATTTGGTCTCCAACCTGCGAACAAGATTTAACATCACTTTGTATTTCTTGTAATTGCGACTCTTCATATTCCGTTGAACTCGAGGATGGCAAATTAAATTCTTCAAGGCTGGTGCTCTTGCATTCCGACCGCTACATTATTCGAGTCGAGGAAAATATTCCAAATATACCGGGTGAGTTACTAAGCGCACGGTATAATAATATCTAACGACCAGTTTAGCCTTTAATTTTTTTCTAACTGTAATAATAATTAATAAGATATCGAAGACCGCGCACTTAGTGAGTCACCTGTGTATTATACCAACTATAGAACAAAAACGAGTCTTTATCTACACCCTCAAAACTACATTTATTTGTCGATTTTTGTAAAACTAGCACAATGCCATTTTCGTTTTCGCATGAATTGCTCTAGTTTCAAGCTCATTTTTACATTTCAACTCAGTAGAAACCGAAACACTTTCTTCGTACTAAGAAAGTAATCAAACTGCTCTAGATAACTTAAAATAAACACAAAACTATTGACACGAATTCCAAACGCGGGACAATTTCTTATGCAACTATTAAACCAAAAGAATCGGAGTGTATCTCAAGGTAGACCAGTGAATAATTTTCTTCAACACCTTCAAGAGAAAGCAAATTGAAGAAGAAATAGAACAAAAGAACATATCGGCACCGTTTAAAAACTATTTTTTTGTTCTTTGTGTACCTTCAATCCTTGTCGATACGCTTCTGAACCTTGCTCCACATGCGACACGAAAAAACCAGTCCCGTGTTCTCTGCCTCCTCTGACGCTGAAGCCCAAACTGGGTCCGTGTCGGTAGGTGGCATTTGGGGGCGGCAGGGTCCCGTGTGGCGGACGTACCAGTCGCACGGTACGAATTCGATTGGTTCGACTCCCATAGCTTCCTGACAATGTCTCGGAAGACATAGTGGAGGAAGCATACTGAGAACCATAATCCATCATCATCATCATCATTTCAGCACTGGAACATACGTTTCGAGATACAGGTTTTATTCACTTGTTCAATTTGGTGAATACAGACATAAAACTGAACCTACAAACGCTAAAAATATAGAAAGCACAGTAGCAAAACAATGCGTTATTAAGCTAGTATCAAAAAATAATTTCACGCTAGATTAAATTTAAAGTGATAATACAAAGCTGAAGTAGCGATAAGGTTTTGCTGTTTTGCCCCAAAACAATACCACAATTATGGACTTCATTCAAATCGAAATTACCTCAAGCAAGGTATGTTTTCTAATTTATCGCTTAAAAGTATGCAGTTCTTCTGTTTTAGCACTTGTATATCTAGGTTTCACTAGAACTGCTTTTTTGTAAATGCACAAATTATAAAGTATACTGTAGGTTTATATAAAATAATGTTGTAAAATCTCACCTTATAATTCTACGAACAAAAAAATTATAAATGTACAATGACTCACTTGCACAAATATAAATGACTGTTTACTCTCCTAGATATATCTTTGGCACTCTTATCATCGGAGCTGTGCACCCACTGCGGTAACGTTAACGAGTTCCGTGTTAACATTTAACAACCACACGATAAACGATTATCTCAGCCACTGTTCAGCGAAAATTCGGTTATAAAATAAATGCGTTTCTTCACCGTTCAACAGATTTCTGTAACAGTTTCTACAACTTGTGGGCAAATTTGTTACTTAGATAGAAATTTAAAAGCAACAGAAACATTTCTAGTGCATTATTAGTAATAGCAATCTCAAACTCAACTGTTTATGTTTATACATCGAAAGAATGTCACGCAGAAATTAGTTTGATTTGAATGAGTTTGTCTTCTCAAAACGGAGGACTGTATGTTCTGCAAGTGTATAAACGTACAGATGGTAAAATGTAGTAATTATTGCGAGCTTAACAAATAAATATTGCAGCGTTTAATTTTTTTTTTTTTTTTGATACGTGAACTATAAACAACAGGTACTTTCTCAAAACAAATAAGTACATCACGTCTTATTAACAGTGTTTTAATGTAAAATAAGAACATGTTTTCACTGCTAACGTTTTTTCTTAACATAATATATCAACTTTTCTCTTGTTTCTCCATAAATGTAGCCAACTATATTAAGAATCTTTACCGCTATTGGTATGTACTTCTACTACAGTCTACATTACACGACGCACCATGCTGCAACATTACTAGTAAAATTTTGAGATCTCACCAACTTTTGGTGCAGATGAACATTCAAACTCAACAATTATGTACAGAATATGTTCCACAATCGAGGTCTTTCTGGAATAGGCGTCGTATGGGTTTCTTTCGTAACAATACACACGTACGTACGAGTAATAACTTGCATGTTCACACTAGATTCAGTAAATATTCCATGTGCTAATTCTGATACCAATCTGTTTATATAGCGTAATGTGATGCTGGACTGGCGCATTTAATTACACATGACAATGTAACAGTCCTTCTAGTTCATTTTAGAACAATGAGTTCTACAAATAAGTCTATGGACGGTTGGCAAGGAAAGCTTTGTTACAAGACTATTACAACAAATACATAACTTCTTGCTTTTCTCTACCGTCTATCTGTTGTCGATTTTATTAGAGATAATTTCTAAAAACTATCCAACCGTTTATTTTGAAATTGTAAAGTGAGCTAAATTTGTCAAGACGATAGTAAAACACTAACCCAAATCTATCTATCTATTACAAAACATTAACTAAAACTTGTAGGTAGGTATACAAATTTTATGGAAAAAATTGACTATTCATGTTTGTGTTTTTTTTTTGTCAGGTTGGCAACATATTTAAAATTTTAAGATACTATACCTGACTGTCAAAGTGACATAGATTTTTAACTTTTTTTGTTGTTTCGATTTTTTGCCCTCTCGTTTTTAAAAATAAAAAGTCTTGCAGGCGGGTAGGCTTTTTTTAAATATAAAAAAAAAATGAGGCCTCTTGGGTTTTTCAAAAATCTCGGGAATCCATGAAATTCTTAATTTGGAAAGAATTTAACAGAATCTGGGGCTCCTAGAACCTTTTTTTTTAATATGTGATGTTTCGTTTTTGAAGGAGAAATCAAAATATTGTCAAAACCGAAAAACTGAAAAATCATGAATTTTAAAAATTTAAAAAATCCAAAAATCCAAAAATTAAAATATCGAATAGATGAAAATGTTGAAAAATGTAATATTTAAAAGATTTGCAAAATTTTGAAAATTCGAGTATAAGTAAAAAATCAAAAAAACAAAGTCAAAAATCTGAAAATCACAAAATTGAATAATCCCAAAACTTAAACAGAGAAATCGAAGAATCGGAAAATTAAAAAATTGATCAATCAAGAAATTGAGAAATCGAAAAATCCAAAAATTTTAAAACGCCAAAAACTGAAAAATTGAAAAATCGAAAAATTTAAATACATAAATCCCAAAACTAAAACGTCGAAAAATTAGCAACTCGAATAATCGGAAAACTGAGATCGAGAACCCGAAATCGAAAAATTGAAAAAACGGGAAATCGAAACATCAAAAAATAGGAAAGTCGAGAAGTCGAAACAGCTAAAGATCGAAAAATGAGAAAATTCAATACTGAAAAATGTGAACTTAAAAAATCCGATAAATCTAAAAATTAAAAAATCGAAATATGTATCGAAAAATTGAAATATCGAAAAATCGAAAATTGGGGAGGCAAAAAATCGAAAGACAGAAATCGAAACAACAAAAAAGTGAAAAATCCAAAATCTAAAAATTCAAAAAATTGAAAATTTACAAAATCGAGCAATCAAAACATCAACAAATCGAAAAATCAAAAAACTAAAAAATCGAAAAATGTAGAATTAAGAAAACGCAAAATTTTGAAGAATCGAATACTTAAGTAAAAAATCAAAAAAAAAAAAAACAGAAAGTCCAAAAATCTAAAAATCGAAATCTTGAAAAATCCCAAAATTGAATAATCCCAAAACTTACACAGAGAAATCGAAAAATCAGAAAATTAAAAAATCGATTAATCGAGAAATTGAGAAATCGAAAAATCCAAAAATTTAAAAACGCCAAAAACTGAAAAATTGAAAAATCGAAAAATTTAAAAACATAAATCGCAAAACTAAAACGTCGAAAAATTAGAATCGGAAATAATCGAAAAACTGAGAAAGTCGAGAAGTCGAAAAATCGAAAAATTGGGATATCGAAATAGCTAAAGATCGAAAAATGGGAAAATTCAACATTGAAAAATGTGAACTTAAAACCCGATAAATCGAAAAATTGAAAAATCGAAATATCGAAAAACTGAAAAATGAATTCCGAAAAATTGAAAAATCAAAAAATGAGAAGGCAAAAAATCGATAGACTGAGAAATCGAAACAACAAAAAAGTGAAAAATCCAAAATCTAAAAATTCGAAAAACTGAAAATTTACAAAATTGAGCAATCAAAACATCAACAAATCGAAAAATCAAAAAACTAAAAAATCGAAAAATGTAGAATTAAGAAATCGCAAAATTTTGAAGAATCGAATAAGTAAAAAATAAAAAAAAACAAAGTCCAAAAATATAAAAATTTAAAAATCGAAATCTTGAAAAATCCCAAAATTGAATAATCCCAAAACTTAAACAGACAAATCGAAAAATCGGAAAATTAAAAAATCGATTAATCGAGAAATTGAGAAATCGAAAAATCCAAAAATTTAAAAACGCCAAAAACTGAAAAATTGAAAAGTCGAAAAATTTAAATACATAAATCGCAAAACTAACACGTCGAAAAATTAGAGACTCGAATAATCGGAAAGCTGAGAAAATTTGACAAATTGAAATATCGAAATATTGAAAAACAGAAAAATTAATTCCGAAAAATTGAAAAATCGAAAAATGAGAAGGCAAAAAATCGGAAGACTAAGAAATCGAAACAACAAAAGTGAAAAATCCAAAATCTAAAAATTCGAAAAATGTAGATTTAAAAAATCGCAAAATTTTGAAGAATCGGATAAGTAAAAAATCAAAAAAAACAGAAAGTCGAAAAACCTAAAAATTTAAAAATCGAAATACATATTACATTTAAAACATAAACATGGAAAATATGAAAATTGAGAAATCGGAAAGACGAAAAATCGAAAAGTCGAAAAATTAAAAAATCCATTAATCAAGAAATTGAGAAATTCAAAAATTCAAAAATTTAGAAACGCCAAAAATTGAAAAATCGAAAAAGTTAAAAATACATAAATCCCAAAACTGAAACGTTGAAAAATTGGAAAATGGAAAAATCGGGAAATCCAAACATCGAAAGATCGAGAAGTCGAAAAATGGAAAAACTTAGAAATGGAAGTGGCTAAAAGTCGAAAAATGGGAAAATTCAAAATTGAAAATTTTTAACTTAAAAAAAAAACGATAAACCAAAAAGTGAAAAATTGAAACATCGAAAAACTAAAAATTGAATTCCGAAAAATTGAAAAATGGAAACATGAGAAGGCAAAAAATCGAAAGACTGAGAAATCGCAACAAGAAAAAAGTGAAAAATCCAAAATCTAAAAATTCGAAAAATTGAAAATTTACAAAATCGAGCAATCAAGAAATCGAAAAATCAAAAAAATGAAAAACCGAAAAATGTAGATTTAAAAAATCGCAAAATTTTGAAGAATCGGATAAGTAAAAAATGAAAAACAGAAAGTCGAAAAAAATAAAAATTTAAAAATCGAAATACACATTGAAAAATCCCAAAATTGAAAACTCCCAAAACTTATACATTGAAAATATGAAAATTCAGAAATCGAGAAATCGGATAGACGAAAAATCGAAGTCGAAAAATTAAAGAATCCATTAATCGAGAAATTGAGAAATTGAAAAATCCAAAAATTTAGAAACGCCAAAAATTGAAAAATAGAAAAAGTTAAATACATAAATCCGGAAACTGAAACGGTGAAAAATTGGAAAATCGAAAAATCGCTAAATCCAAAAATCAAAAGATCGAGAAATCGAAAAAATCGAAAAATTGAGAAATGGAAGCGGCTAAAAGTCGAAAAATAGGAAAATTCAAAATTGAAAAATTTTAACTTAAAAAAAAACGATAAACCAAAACGTGAAAAATCGAAACATGGAAAAACGGAAAAATTAATTCCGAAAAATTGAAATAAACTGGAAAATCTAAAAACGAGAAGGCAAAAATCTAAAGATTAAGAAATCGAAAAACCAAAAAAGTGAAAAATCTAAGATTTAAAAATTCGAAAAGTTGAAAAATCGAAAAATGTAGATTTAAAAAATCGCAAAATTTTGAAGAATCGAATAAGTAAAAAATCAAAAAACAAAGTCGAAAAATCTAAAAATTTAAAAATCAAAATACATATTGAAAAACCCAAAATTGAAAACTCCCAAAACTTAAACATTGAAAATATGAAAATTGAGAAATCGAGAAATGGGAAAGACGAAAAATCGAAAAATTAAAAAATCCATTAATCGAGAAATTGAGAAATCCAAAAATTTAGAAACACCAAAAATTGAAAAATCGGAAAAGTTAAATACATAGATCCCAAAACTGAAACTTTGAAAAATAGGAAAATCGTAAAATCGCGAAATCCAAACATCAAAAGATCGAGAAGTCGGAAAATCGAAAAATTGAGAAAATGGAAGCGGCTAAAAGTCGAAAAATGGTAAAATTCAAAATTGAAAAATTTTAACTTAAAAAAAACGATAAACCAAAAAGTGAAAAATCGAATCATCGAAAAACTGAAAAATTAATTCCGAAAAATTGAAATAAACTGGAAAAACTAAAAATAATATTTTTATATATTTCATTCCCAGGTTTCGTCTTGTTTTATTTTCGAATTGTCAATATCCGTCAGGTTATTCGATTTCTCACTTAGTCAGGTTGATAAAAAAATACCACTTCCCGTTTAAAATCTACCGAAGATAAATGTAAATTTTAATTTTTGTTAAATTACTTTTATGTTAAGCTATACTTTCTGAGTTGAACATACTTTATTGTGTGATACTTACAACGCAGTTTCTTTCTACCTGAAGAAGGTACTGTGTAATCAAGGAAACTTTAGTCCTTGTCCATTTTATTCTACCTGAGTGTTTAGGGAATTATGACAACCCGCAGAGAGAAAGCGGAGGCGCTTAACACCCTTTCTGCCGGGTACCGACAATACTTTTGCGTGTGATAGTACAGTCGCGCCCATAGAAAACTGGACCTCTACGTTTTGACACACACTTCAAAATTTAAAAAAAAGCTAGGGTTTAAACTTAATATCTTTATTTTTATAATCTTGTTTATAAGCATCCAAATGCGGGCATAATTGGCCTTTATGGCACAAATCAATCAAAAATTGCTAAACCACGATTGATTATTTACATTAATTAATTATTCAAACACGCTTCCATATTCAACATTGGGAAAACAATATTTCATCAGATCATTCCCTGGCCGACTTCAAATTCTTCTAAAATTTCTTTTAAATAAACGTAAAAAATATTTTAGAAACTAAAATAGAATGAAACGTTGCATATTACGGGCATAATTGTCGATTATGGCCCTCGGGAAATTAAGAGCCCTCCGTCGTCGGTTTTAAACATTTTAAAATCTCCCTAATTATGCCCTTAATCCATAAATAACTATTGTACCATAGGCTTTTATAAAATTGTTTGAAAACATTTTAAAAAACAATGTGTAATATTCTGCCATCAAACAGTTAGAAAGACTATATTTAACTATAGTTTGAAATTGTGAAAGTAGCTTTTGTCGATGACGATCCTTATCACCAAAATAGAGGTCCTTGTCTAATTAAAATATTTGAGGAAATAAACAGTTATAGCCCATAGCTAAAACGTCACCAATTAATGATGAAAAAGTTCGTATGTCCACGGCATTTCCTTTCAAAGATTATTCATTGTGTCTAGGAATACTTGTGTAATAACGTATTAAATATTTCCATCACAAAATATCTTTTCCAGAAATTATTACTCACTTATTTTTCTTTTTGCATTTTTTTTAACTCAATGAATTCTGAAATTACATTGATTACCCACACGTATTACAATTTATTGCAGTCACTAGGTAGAACACTAAATAAATGTTCATTAAATTTGGTAGAATAGAATACTCCAGTATGTGTGATTTATGTATCCGTGCTGTTTTTTTACCCTGGACATCCCGGTTTTTGGGAAAAAACCGAACGCTGCGCAATCTTGCAAACGTTTTAAAGTTATCGGAAGATGGAAAATCGTTCTTCAAAATTTGTCAGTTTACAATGAAAAATGAGAAATTTCGGAAAATACTCAAAAATAAACCACGTGTTCAACTCTTTAAATTTGACTAATTTGCCCTTTTCTTATTAGCATATTTTTTTATGTATTTAAGTAGTTCATTTTTCATTATTTCCGACATCATAACTGTGAGAAACAAATTGCACATTAAAGTCTGCAAAAATCTATTTTGACTCAACAGTCCGTGACATGGACGACACCCATACACTCTAGATGACACCAGCATCACATTTTCGTGGTATAATCGCCACAGCTAACACCTATTAACCACACTCTCGGTTGCGAATTCTTTGTACCCGATCTCCAACTAAAAAAATGGCGAACAAATCCTCTATCTCGCATAACATTTCGCAACTTCCTCATAATCATCAATTACCGAATTCCTAACAACGCAAGGTTTTCCCTCTTCTAATTACCCCATCGCCACACACCAGATCAAAGCCCAAATACTTGCAGAGAAAGTCTTCACCAACTCACCGAGTGTAATCCCAGTTACATTTAAATTCAGTCACATTTTAGGCGTGCCAAAGCCACACTGTGCCACTGCAAATCCGAATTGTCACTGTTTTATCAATACCGGAAGCACGCACGAGAAGCACCACGAGTTCACTGTTTGCCTATCGATTTCACAGTTGATGGTTCCCGAGGAGGACAACGTGCGGCCATTCTCTAGCACCAGACATCGTGTGCCTGGAAAGAGTCGTTGCCGTTGTTGCCTTCACCGATTCATGCTCTATTGCCCCTTCTTCGTCCAACACTCTGCCGCTGTGCGTGTATGTATTATTCGTTCATGTTGGATGGTATGTGTTTCACCTGTTCTTCGTGATGGACTTGCGCAAATCTAAAGTGTTAACGCATTTTTAGTAGCAGGAAACCGGCATCGAACGAGAACTGATTTCGAATTAAATCGGTTGAGGAGAAATTCTCAATTGAAATTACTCAGTTTTTAATTTCATGCCTGGTACTTGTTGCTTAAAATACTAATAGGCCTATATAAGATCTCGAAAGAAGTATACAATAAAGATAATTTCCCAGAGTTATTTGTGGTTTTACATCGGGTACTGTACCCAAGCGGTTCTTACTAATTAACCGATGATGGTAAAACCCCTTAGAAAACTTCTTTCAGTGTGATTTCTGCGACTTGGTTTGAGAAAACTGTAAAAATGTTAATTACTTATTCGCTGACACCGGTGGCCGTGTGTCGCAACCACAGAATTGCAGATTTGCATAGAAAGCATACACAAGAATGTGATCACCTTAGAAAATAAGGTAGGTAGTGTTATTCCTGGTATGACGTGCAAATATAATCTTTTTTGCCGCATAATAGTTAGTAATTAGTGTGATGAGAATTCTGGTTTAATCCATGCATTATCATTAGAGAGCGGATTTATAAGCACAAAAAATTAAGAATAAGCGCTTAAATAAACACAACATTTTCAATAAAAAAGTTTTATTTTAAGCAAAAAAGCATTAAATAAGCATAACACTTTCATTAAAAACGTTTTATTTTAAGCAAAAAAGCATTAAAAACATAATCATATTACAAATCAAAGAACACTTCTTAGAACTTTGGATAAAATATTATTAAAATAATCCTAGACTTTATATTTTACACACGTATTTCAGTTTTCTTTAAAACAATTTATGATTGTAATATGTTCCAAGTTGTTCACTGTAAAATTTTTTCGCCGATCATTTAAAATGTGTTTAAAGGCGGAGTTTAATTGTAACATATTATTTCTCTAGAAAATTCTACCCTGTTAAAAACATATTTCATATGCTCATTTATTGTAGAGAAATGAGGATTTTGCAACTAACTCCGCCCTTCAACTCACGATGAATAAAATATTCGTCACAATTGAGAAAGGGTGGGTGGGCGGGGCTTATATTTTGTCCGTTTTTTCTTAATATACGAAGTCTTCTTTTCCCAACAAGAAACTGAAAAAATGTTTAACTATCCTGTTGAAAGAAAACTCTATATATTAAAAAAACAAAAAAAAAGTAAGCCCCACCCACCCGCCCGGATTTCAATTGTGACGAGTTTTTAAAGGCGGAGTTTAATTGTAACATCAATATTTCTCTAGAAAATTTTAGCCTTTTAAAAACATATTTCATATGTTAATTGCTTGTATAGAAATGAGGATTTTTCAACTAAACTCCGCCCTTCAGCTCACGATGAATAAGGCATTCATCACAATTGAGAAGGGGTGGGTGGGCGGGGCTTATATTTTGTCCACTTTTTCTTAATATACGAAGTCTTCTTTTCCTAACAAGAAACTGAAAACATGTTTAACTATCCTGTTGTTGAAAGAAAACTCTATATATTAAAAAAACAAAAAAAAAGTAAGCCCCACCCACCCGCCCGGATTTTAATTGTGACGAGTTTTTAAAGACGGAGTTTAGTTGTAACATCAATATTTCTCTAGAAAATTCTACCCTGTTAAAAACATATTTCATATGCTAATTTATTGTAGAGAAATGAGGATTTTGCAACTAAACTCCGCCCTTCAACTTACGATGAATAAAATATTCGTCACAATTGAGAAGGGGTGGGTGGGCGGGGCTTATATTTTGTCCATTTTTTCTTAATATACGAAGTCTTCTTTTCCTAACAAGAAACTGAAAACATGTTTAACTATCCTGTTGTTGAAAGAAAACTCTATATATTAAAAAAACAAAAAAAAAGTAGGGCCCACCCACCCGCCCGGATTTCAATTGTGATGAGTTTTTAAGGGCGGAGTTTAATTGTAACATCAATATTTCTCTAGAAAATTTTAGCCTTTTAAAAACATATTTCATATGCTAATTTATTGTAGAGAAATGAGGATTTTGCAACTAAACTCCGCCCTTCAGCTCACGATGAATAAAATATTCGTCACAATTGAGAAGGGGTGGGTGGGCGGGGCTTATATTTTGTCCATTTTTTCTTAATATACGAAATCTTTTTTTCTTAACAAGAAACTGAAAACATGTTTAACTATCCTGTTGTTGAAAGAAAAGTCTATATATTAAAAAAACAAAAAAAAAGTAAGCCCCACCCACCCGCCCGGATTTCAATTGTGATGAGTTTTTAAAGGCGGAGTTTAATAGTAACATCAATATTTCTCTCAAAAATTCTACCCTTTTAAAAACATATTTCATATGCTAATTTCTTGTGGAGAAATTAGGATTTTGCAACTAAACTCCGCCCTTCAGCTCACGATGAATAAAATATTCGTCACAATTGAGAAGGGGTGGGTGGGCGAGGCTTATATTTTGTCCATTTTTTCTTAATATACGAAGTCTTCTTTTCTTAACAATAAACTGAAAACATGTTTAACTATCCTGTTGTTGAAAGAAAACTCTATACATTAAAAAAACAAAAAAAAGTAGGGCCCACCCACCCGCCCGGATTTCAACTGTGATGAGTTTTTAAGGGCGGAGTTTAATTGTAACATCAATATTTCTCTAGAAAATTCTACCCTGTTAAAAACATATTTCATATACTAATTTCTTGTAGAGAAATGAGGATTTTGCAACTAAACTCCGCCCTTCAACTCACGATGAATAAAGCAGTCGTCACAATTGACATGGAATGGGTGGGCGGGGCTTATATTTTGTCTGATTTTTCTTAATATACGAAGTCTTCTTCTCCCAACAAGAAACTGAAAAAGTGTTTAACTATCCTGTTGAAAGAAAACTCTATATATTAAAAAAACAAAAAATAGTGAGCCCCACCCACCCGCCCGGATTTCAATTGTGACGAGTTTTTAAAGGCGGAGTTTAATTGTAACATCAATATTTCTCTAGAAAATTTTAGCCTTTTAAAAACATATTACATATGCTAATTGCTTGTAGAGAGATGAGGATTTTTCAACTAAACTCCGTCCTTCAGGTCACGATGAATAAGGCATTCATCACAATTGAGAAGGGATGGGTGGGCGGGGCTTATATTTTGTCCACTTTTTCTTAATATACGAAGTCTTCTTTTCCTAACAAGAAACTGAAAACATGTTTAACTATCCTGTTGTTAAAAGAAAACTCTATATATTAAAAAAACAAAAAAAAAGTAAGCCCCACCCACCCGCCCGGATTTCAAATGTGATGAGTTTTTAAAGGCGGAGTTTAATAGTAACATCAATATTTCTCTCAAAAATTCTACCCTTTTAAAAACATATTTCATATGCTAATTTCTTGTGGGGAAATGAGGATTTTGGAACTAAACTCCGCCCTTCAGCTCACGATGAATTATATATTCGTCACAATTGAGAAGGGGTGGGTGGGCGGGGCTTATATTTTGTCCATTTTTTCTTAATATACGAAGTCTTCTTTTCTTAACAAGAAACTGAAAACATGTTTAACTATCCTGTTGTTAAAAGAAAACTCTATATATTAAAAAAACAAAAAAAAAGTAAGCCCCACCCACCCGCCCGGATTTCAAATGTGATGAGTTTTTAAAGGCGGAGTTTAATAGTAACATCAATATTTCTCTCAAAAATTCTACCCTTTTAAAAACATATTTCATATGCTAATTTCTTGTGGGGAAATGAGGATTTTGGAACTAAACTCCGCCCTTCAGCTCACGATGAATTATATATTCGTCACAATTGAGAAGGGGTGGGTGGGCGGGGCTTATATTTTGTCCATTTTTTCTTAATATACGAAGTCTTCTTTTCTTAACAAGAAACTGAAAACATGTTTAACTATCCTGTTGTTAAAAGAAAACTCTATATATTAAAAAAACAAAAAAAAAGTAAGCCCCACCCACCCGCCCGGATTTCAATTGTGATGAGTTTTTAAAGGCGGAGTTTAATAGTAACATCAATATTTCTCTCAAAAATTCTACCCTTTTAAAAACATATTTCATATGCTGCTTTTTTGTGGGGAAATGACGATTTTGCAACTAAACTCCGCCCTTCAGCTCACGATGAATAAAATATTCGTCACAATTGAGAAGGGGTGGGTGGGCGGGGCTTATATTTTGTCCGTTTTTTCTTAATATACGAAGTCTTCTTTTCTTAACAAGAAACTGAAAACATGTTCAACTATCCTGTTGTTGAAAGAAAACTCTATATATTAAAAAAACAAAAAAAAAGTAAGCCCCACCCACCCGCCCGGATTTCAATTGTGACGAGTTTTTAAAGGCGGAGTTTAATTGTAACATCAATATTTCTCTAGAAAATTCTACCCTGTTAAAAACATATTTCATATGCTAATTTATTGTAGAGAAATGAGGATTTTGCAACTAAACTCCGCCCTTCAACTAATGATGAATAAAATATTCGTCACAATTGAGAAAGGGTGGGTGGGCGGGGCTTATATTTTGTCCGTTTTTTCTTAATATACGAAGTCTTCTTTTCCCAACAAGAAACTGAAAAAATGTTTAACTATCCTGTTCAAAGAAAACTCTATATATTAAAAAAAAAAAAACAAAAAAAAAGTAAGCCCCACCCACCCGCCCGGATTTCAATTGTGATGAGTTTTTAAAGGCAGAGTTTAATTGTAACATCAATATTTCTCTCAAAAATTCTACCCTTTTAAAAACATATTTCATATGCTAATTTCTTGTGGAGAAATGAGGATTTTGCAACTAAACTCCGTCCTTCAGCTCACGATGAATTATATATTCGTCACAATTGAGAAGGGGTGGGTGGGCGGAGCTTATATTTTGTCCATTTTTTCTTAATATACGAAGTCTTCTTTTCTTAACAAGAAACTGAAAACATGTTTAACTATCCTGTTGTTGAAAGAAAACTCTATATATTAAAAAAACAAAAAAAAAGTAAGCCCCACCCACCCGCCCGGATTTCAATTGTGATGAGTTTTTAAAGGCGGAGTTTAATAGTAACATCAATATTTCTC